GATACTTTTTCAAAAATTTCGAATTTTTCACTTTCAGTGAAAATTTCAGTGAATAGCTCCTCGATGTTCATGTTACCCTGATACTTTTTCAAAAATTTCGAATTTTTCAATTGCAGTGAATACCTATCTACAGAAAAAATTGGAATTATTTAAAAAAAAAAATGAATGTTGGCAGGATTGAACCCCGGCCGTCGGCGTGCTAGCCGAACACGTTACCGCTAGGATAACGCATTATTACAATAATTTAATTTCATTAGGAGTATATATTTTGCAAAAGTATCATTTTAAAAAATTGCTAATTTTTCAATTTCAATGGATATCTTCTCGATTTTCAAATATTCAGTTTTTAAACGATATTTCCATTAATTAGCCACTTACAAAAAAAAAAAATAGAAATTATTTAAAAAAAAAAATTAATGTTCGCAGGATCGAACCCCAGCCGTCGGCGTGCTAGCCGAGCACGTTACCGAGAGGACAACGCACTCATTATAATAATTCATTTCAATAGGAGTATATCTTCTACATTTGAATAATTTTTTTCATTTAAAATTCCACAAAATGTGGCTTCCCCCTTCCACTCGTCCTACAGGCGGCTAAATTCCAGTTAAACAAACAAAAAACAAAAAGCATTCATGCCGCAGAAAATAAAATTAACCCCGTCGACTTGATGGACACCCCAGCATTGCGTGTAGCGCCCTCCCTCTCTTGGGATGCAGTACTACGATGCAGCTGGGGTCACTCAAACCCCTAGAACTGAGCCTCCACTTTAGTCTATCCTCTCTGGATGAGCCGAAGGATATACGTTCTCATGTGGAATGCTCATGCCGGCGGAGACGTATATTTGAGTCGATTTTAGTCGATTTTCTTCTTCTTGGCCTTCGTTAAGGGTTGATTTCACTTCATTAGGGGTTAATTGGTCGGCGCTAGTATTATTATTAAATAAATTTTCAGGAAAAATATGAAAAAGGCTCTCGCTGTCACTAGGATTGATCTCTAGTCATTTTTGTTGCACAAGTGGTTGTTGTGGGAAGTCTAAAAAACACTAGCGGTTCAGGGAAAGGGTTGACATCCGGTCAAATGGCGTCCATTGCCAAAAGGCACTGTTGTCACATTTTGTCCATACAGTGTTTCAATACTTCCAATTGTTTACATTTTTGCTAAACAATTTCACGTGGCTCGCCAAATATTGGGCATCGAGGTAACCAATAACATTGCGGTGGAATAAACAATGAGACGATAAATTGGGGATCGATATTCCGGGATATATCAGAGGAAATACTTAGGTGAGTAAATCAGGGAGCAGTGACCTTGGGCCCGCTGTCATCTCTTGGTTGATTATACGGCGCTAAATTCGAAATTCACCGCTGTTTTTTCTTTTCAATGAAATCTGTTCTTCGAGATTATTCTGGACAGATGAATTTCATCAGACACATTATTTTTTTGGCAGATAACGAAGTAAGAGGTTCTAGTTGTTAAATGGAGTGAGAATAAGGACTGGAGGATAATTTTCAGCTTTAAAGAATAACATTTTCCTGACGAGATGATGGAAGTTGGAACCGACGAGGAGGCTCAGGCTGTCCTCCTGGAAGGGATGGAAGGGACTCAGTACATAACGATCCAGAGGAGTGATGGTGAGGCCCTTGGCAAGGGTGTACCCCTGCTCACCCTGAGCGGAGAGCTGATATCCGAGGGAATGGTTGTCGACATGATAAATGCTGGAGTTGCCAATGAATTCAACACAGGGACACAGTACTACGAGACAGATGATCTCCTTCCTCACGAGTTGACTGAAGTAATTGCATTAATCAATGCTGAAAGGGTATTGATTGATTAATTCTTGATTTTGATTTTATTTAGGAGGATAAGAAGCTGGCAGCAGCCCTAGTGGCAGTCCAGCTGCAAGCTCAGCATAAGCAACAGCAGATTCACACTCAGAACCAGCACAACGATCCAACACTTCCAGATGTCTCTCAACTGGCCACCCTCGCCCCGGTCAACACTTACACCATTCAAACGATATCCCAGCAAGAGCCACCGCCCGTTTACTCCAGCCTTCCCACTTACAAGCGAATAAATCATAATGTCAAACAGGAGTTTATCAATGTTAAGAGTGAATACGACATCGATGTGTCTGCTGACAGCAGCGAGGATGCAGCTCCAGCATCTGGACAGAAGAGATCGCTGCCCCATAAGAAGAGAATTGCCAGAAAGCTCAAGCAGCAGACGAAGAAAAATTCCAGGAAGGATGCTGGCAAGAATAATCAGGAGAACATCATCGTGGAGGTTATTGAGGAGCCTCAGGCCTTCAAGTGTGAACTTTGTGGGAACAAATTTGGGGGGCAGCTCAAGTTCTTTGAACATCTCAAGGTGAAATACAACTTGATTAATTACAATTAGCGAATAATTTATTTAATTGGGTTACAATTTATTGAGACGAGTGGAAAGTAATTTGAGTTTACAAAATTTGAGACAAATTCTTGTTTTTTTTTGCATGATTTTTCAGACTCACTACGAGCCTGTGAAACAGGAGACTAGAGTAGCTCAAGCAACCAATACAAATATAACGATAGCGTCAACAGAGTCAATTCAAATCGAGGATACAGTGATTGAGGAGTTCAGCGAGCCTGAGGACCTCATGGAGGGAATCCGAGGAGTGGTGGAGGAGACTGGAGCTCACATTGACGAAGAGACAGAGTCCTCGACACTGGTGACAAACAGCTCGAACCTCTGGGATATCTCCGACGTTACAGAAACCGTGCAAGAGTCCACAGCCAGAGAAATTAATGAACAAGACTCCCAGGACAAGTTCGAGGAGAAATTGCCAGAGACTGCCAAGAAGAAAAAATCCCAGAAGGGCAAGAAATCCCAGAACGAAGAGATGTCGTGTCCCCAGTGCGACAGAACTTTCCACCACAAGAACAGTCTTATCTATCATATGAGATCGCACACTGGTGAGAGACCCCATCAGTGCGAAGTATGTGGAAAAAGTTTTTTTGCTGCTAGTGCACTGAAGGTCCACAAACGTCTTCACAGTGGAGACAAGCCGTACAAATGCGAAGACTGTGGTCGTCATTTTCGACAATGGGGCGACCTGAAGTATCACTCAATGAGTATTCACTCAGAGCAACGACAATTCCAGTGCGAATACTGCGGAAAAGATTTTGCTCGAAAGTATTCCCTCATCGTTCATCGTCGAATTCACACTGGCGAGAAGAATTATCGTTGCGAATACTGCAACAAAACATTTCGAGCCAGCAGTTACCTGCAGAATCATCGCAGAATACACACAGGGGAAAAGCCACATCCCTGTACTGTTTGTGGTAAGCCTTTTAGAGTGAGAAGTGATATGAAACGACACATGCATACACACGACAGGGGACGACAGGAGAGGCTCGCCAGCAGGCTCGTCAGCAAAAATTCCAATGAAGGAGATGACAAGGAGCTCAATGCATCGAATGTTGTCAAGAGTCTTGATGACACTAACAAGGCCCTCCACTCCTCGATAATCCAGGATCTCGTGCAGGAGCTCAAACTCGAAGTCGAGCAGAATAATGTCGTAGAAATTGTTCCACCTGAGGACAATCCCGAGAGTATTTTACCCCATGGAGGGGGACAGGGCTCTCAGGTTGAACGCTTGTATCCCGTTGGCGGTGGAAGTGATGATAATCCTGATAGAGATCCCTTGGAAGCTGTCGATAGAACATCCGACACTTTGTGAGTTATTTCCTCATGATCCTCTCATTATTCATGACTTCATCAGTGATTATATTTTTCGTAGAACAATGCTGAATACTAATTATTCTTTTCGATAATTACAGGCAGTATTTCTTCATATAATCCAAGCAGCACCCTGGGTATCATCAGAACCCAAACTAGTAAAGCCCATCAAGAATGAAAATAGTCATTCGCGATCGACTGAGCTACAATTTTCTAAATAAATTTTCTATCTTAAGAAATACCATTCTTACAAAAAAAAAAATATTATCCCCAACAATTGTAAATACCTTGATTACAAAAAAAAAAATGAAGTCCTTCTATAAACCGCAATAACGTAGTAAAATCTCACAAAAGAGATTCCGTTAGTTCTCGTTTTTATTTTATCTTAAAACAAAACAAAAAAACAATGAAAAACCGCATGATTAAAAAAAAAATTTATATCGCAAAATCGCTGTATGTAATATTAAAAATATATTTTTTACATGAACACATTTATACAAACTGAAGAATAGCCTCAATAATGCCAATCAAATGATCATATCCTGAACAATACCGAGACTAGCCATTGGTGTGGGAGGATTATCGTCGTTTCCTAGTATGATCTGCTGAAGTGCCTCGATATCCCGCCCCGTGAGGGCAAAGCTCAGTTTTTCCCCAGCATCTTTACTGGTCATCCTCCTGGACCCCTTGGCTCTCTCCCAGTCAACGTACAAATCCGTGATAACACCATGAAGTCTCACCAAGATCTCAGGATGTTTTGCCATCTCTCTCCTGAGCGCCTCCTCCTGCCTCAAAAGTTCCTGGTAATCACTGCTCAAATTCCCCTCAGCCTCGACCTTCATCTCCCACTCCTGGAGAGCATCCAGAATCCTCAGCTTCTGGGTCAAGTCATCAGCAGCATCTAGTCTGGGTAAAATGAGCTCCAATACCCTGGTGACACTGCCCTCAGCGACATCGCAGAATACATCCAGCTTGATCTTCCTCTTGGTGGCTTCTCTGGTGAGTAGATCTCTGAGGATGATAACAGTAGAGACATTCTCCCCGAGGAAGCTGGCACTTCCCTTCTTATACCTGCATTTCAGCCGAGTCCCCACAAAAGTCGAGACATAGTTCAAGGTAGCTTCTCCATCGACTAATTGTGGCCTCTCAGGTATATCAGGCAGGGCGAGAGCCAACCAGGCATGCATTTCAGCAACAGTGAATCCCCCAAGAAGCCTGAGCTCATTGAAGGGCCCCCCACACCCCTGGGGCCCTTCATCATCGTGCAACCTGGCATGAAGAGACAACGCATACACCGGTATCCTGATCCTTCTGCATGCCTTCGGCTGGATCTGCGTCGTTACATACACCTGGAGAACTCCCGACTGTCCCTCAATCGTTCGCATTCGTGTCTCGACACGATTGACATTGGCCTGACACCTGTAAGTTGCAAGTACAAAATTGTTATCCTGAGGATTGCACACCGAGTGACTCGCAACTGCACTGTTACTCTCGTCCAGAAGCTCCACAGGTGTGTCCGATTGTATGAGAACATTGTCGATAGGGGTGTCAAGCTCGATGGACAATTGATATGAGGCTGTATCCGGATCCAGGATCATCCGGTGATTCACTGATAGAATTAGGGGGGCTATTCCCTCATTCGGTAGATCAAACATCTCTTTTTCCTCCTCGAGTTTCTGCTCCAATTCTAGAATCTCGGTTTTCAATTTTTCCAAGGCCTCAATACTCGAGCCAGCCTCCAGGGATCCTGGAGGTCTCGTTGTCAGTCCGAATATTCTCCCTGAATACGTCGTCACGAGGATCTCTGGATATCCAGCAGCACCGATTATCCCCCCCATCACTGTACTGACGCTTTCACCTGCGTTATAACGATATCTACGGAGCGGTGTTGTCTCCTCGTCCTCGGGAAAGGCGAACACCTCTACGGTGCCGTCCTGACGACCCACCAGGATGTCCAGGCCGTCCTCGAGTTCGTAAGTGTCGAGGGATGTCACCTCTGGTGCAGCTGTCGTTATCACCCAAGTTATTCTGATTGTCTTAGCGCCCTGAACTGTCAACAGACCGATTTTGCCGTCCTGGGTACCCACCAGGATTCGATTTCTCGAGTCTCTCTGGTCTTCCCTCCAGGAGGTTAAAACTGTGGGGACGCTAGGAAGTCTCAAGATGGTCGGGCTCTTCGTTCCCGTCAACACACGAATCGCACGATCCCCACAGGCGAGAATCGCCAGAACCGATGAACCCTCACCTGGGATCAGGATCACGTCGTTCAGGGTCTCTCCTGCTAGGTAGGAATCGGCGTCCTTGCAGTTTTGGTATCTGTGGTACAAGTCACGGGCACACGCCGCCAGGTCTGGCCCCAGGACGAACATCGAGGTGATGGGGTCGATGAGGCTCGTGTCAAACTCCAGGAACATCTTTCCTTTTTTCGTGTAGCCCTTCACGGAATTGCCGTAGGCGATGAAGATCTTGTCTTTTGGGTTGCCCAGGGTACCCCCGAGGACCAGCTTCTCGATCTTTGGACCTGGGAGTGATTTAAAGGACAGCTGGAGCTCTCCTTTCTTCATCCCTGGAGATAAAAGGAAGTGACATCCGTTATATCTGGACATGTTACATTTTTCAGTTCCGGATGGTTTTAGTGTCCCCCCGGGGGAAATATACATGAAATCAGTCTCCCGTTGAATGAATAATAAAATAAATCAGTAGTTACATAAATAAATTACCGAAGACGTGGAGAATTCCATCGTGATCTCCCACGGCGAATTTCTGAAGGGCTTTTGCGTCGTGCGATGGCAAAATCCGCATCGTCCCCTTGGAAGTGACACCAACCGATGCATAATCCACTCTTGAAAGTACTAACGACATCTCAATAATCTTTTACCCCTAATTAATCAATACCAATGAACAATCCTGGATAATTGAAAGGCCCAGAACTTCATAATTTCGAATTTATTGAAAATATCAATAAACGAATAATGAACGAAATACTTTACACTACTGCGATATCACCTGACAGCCCCGAAAATGATATTTTCTCTCCATCTCTCACTACAACTGGACATTGTTAATGAATTTTAACTTCAATGTTGTGACGGTAAAACGTAAAGTCGATCGATTTAACCATAGCAACGATTTCCCGCTAGTGATTCAAACTGCGAGGGGCCTGCGTACTATTTCTACGATGATTTCTTGGAGTTGAGCTCCACTGTCGGGAAATAAACAAAAGTGTCGGGATGAGACGCCAATTTCACTCAGTTCCAGGAAGAAAACAATTTGGAATGTTATTTATTTAATTTTGACGATTTACTGTGGGCCCATAGGCCCTCAAAAGTGCTAGCCAAAAGGCCCCACGTGTGCTAACAAAACAATCTCCAGAATGAGCAACAAAACGACGAGTGGAGGTAGAAACCGAAGTCGAGCCAGATTTTTTGAGAGATTCAAGTGTTTATTTATTTGATGTTTATTAGTTTAAATTGGGAATGAAAGTTCTGGCGGTTTTTTTCAATTATTTATTATTATTTTCAAGGGGAGATGGATCCAGTTCAGGAAGAGTTTGCTGGACGAGTGAGGGAAGTTGGAAACCATGCAATCTGGAGTTTATCCAGCTGCAAACCAGGTTTTGGAGTAGATCAACTTCGTGACAACATAACAGAGACGTATTGGCAATCAGATGGTCAACTTCCGCATCTTGTGAATATCCAGTTCAGAAAGAAAACGACTATCAGAGATATTTGTATTTATACAGATTATAAACACGATGAGAGCTACACGCCGAGCAGGTAAATAAATAAATTCTCTCCTTTTTCAATTTCATCCCTCAATGAATTCCGCAGACTTACTGATGACCAGATTACATAACATCCACTCCTTTTTTATTTCTAGAATTAGTATACGCGCTGGGACGAATTTCAATGATCTCCAGGAGGTGGAAGTGATGGACCTGAACGAACCCAGTGGGTGGGTAGTGATACCCATAAAAGATCTGAACGACAGACCCATCAGAACATTCATGATCCAGATAGCTGTGATAAGTAATCACCAAAACGGCAGAGACACCCATATGAGGCAGATCAAAGTCCACAGCCCAGCCCAGGACATCCTCGGACCCCCAGCCCCTCACCTCCCAGGACAATTCCTCACCAATGAATTTCAACGCTACGCCACTATCAGATAAAAATAATTTTTAGTATTTACTCAATAAATGCTATTCCATCTTCAGGTTTCGTTACAAGTTATTGGGCCTTAATTAATGAATCGTCGAATAAATCCCACAATATCTAAGTTCAATGTTTACCCTCGAGGCCAGCCCCTGGGAGAATACCGTAAACACTGAACTAGTGAATGATCTCATTGATGTATTTCTGAATGAGAATTAGTTCATTTGAGAATGTCCTCCAATCTACATCGTCCAATGATATGGAGTCTTTACTGTTCCCTTTTATTTCTCGTATACCCCACAGCCACAGGAGATGGCATAAATCACTTGGAAAAAATTCTAAACGACACAACGAATTTTTTCGAAAAACTGAAAGTCCAATTCGGTTCGTCTCCCGCAAATAACGAAACATTTGAGTCAATTAATAATCGTGTTGATGAATTTATCGATCATGTGAGCAGAGACAAAAAGCAGAGGAGCAGAAGACAGTTATTCCAGGAGAATAATTACGAAACAGGTAACACGCTTTATTATCACTCATAAACATTCAACAAATCGACGAAGACTGAAAAAATAACGTTATCTTTATGGTAATTATTATAAAAAGTAAAAAAATATTATCCTCTTTTGTGCCTAAATTAATTGCTGCTGGTAATTTTTCCCTCGACACCGAAAAAATCTTTAAACACATGCTGGGATTGATGCTCCGTTAGGTATTTCAACAATTGCCCCATGTCGTTGTGTTTATCGGTTGTTGGAAATGATATTTCTTGGAATTCCACGAATTTACGCATTGTATTTACATCTCGACCGTCTAAATTCTCCTCTTCAACTAGTTTCAGTAATATTTTGTGCCAGTTCATTACTTTAATCTGTAACAATAAAAATGATATATATTAATCAAAATAAATAAATGACAATTCTATTATATAGAATGTAAAAAAATATCAGGGAATATAAAGGAGAAATTTGTAAAAGGAGAAGAGATTGAATGAAATGAAATTGGTATAGAATGAATTACCTTTTGCCACCAATATTCACAATCCTCGAGAGATCCCTCAACACAAATAATTCCCGGCTTTCCCGCCAAACAGAAACCCGACAATTGGCACTCTTTAGCCTCATCAGCCATATCCTTCCTCTTAATATTCGAATAAATATGATGACTGTAAATCCAATAGCGACCAAAGACACTCGGTTTTCTGTTCTTTTTTTTATTTTTTCTGTTATCCTTCTCGTTATTTTTCTTGGAGTGTTTTAAATAGCCATCCAAGTGATCCTGCATCCAGGACACAATGGCATAAATGCATGGCTCATCAGGATCCTGAGTCTTGGCAAATCCAATAAGTGCGTCATTTAATTTCGTTTGCTGAGTGCGATCCAGGGCTGAACCCCTGGCATACACGTCTGGACTGACCCCTGGATACTCCAGTGGTAGAGTTATGTGAAGGTCCACACATCCCTGAGCACAAAACAATAATTAACAACAGCATTCAATTCCATTTATTAACAATAAATAGACCAGAACAATTGAGCATCAATTCTCAGTGATTTAAATTTTTGGAGAATCAACTGGAGATGTTTATATGAATAAAAACGTACCTCGGGCACAGTTATTTTTATTGAGTACGCTAATCTTCCAGGATTATCGTTATGACCGCCAGAAATAAATTCATTGATGTCAGCTAATGCACCATGATCCGATATGACTAATTCATCCGGATATACAGCTTGCAACGTCTCAAGTTCAATAACTTGAGTCGTCAAGTAATCTCGGATTTTCATAACGTCTGACATTGCCACTATATCTCGATTTACAATAAAATTGATTAACGATTTTTTATCACTGCGGAGACAAATCGCGCAATCGTGGAGAGAAATTTCGTGTGAATTTTGCGATTGGAGAAATGATATTAAAGGTTTATCGTTCCTCACTGGCGGCGATTTGGCGTTTTTTTTTTCTTGTGATGTTTTGAATTGATAGGATATATGTTTTGATGCACATGTGAGGGTCATGTGAGACAGCTGATGCTCCAGCTGATAGTGGGAAAACACTTGGATGAGCACACGACGTGCCAGGAGTGGGAATTCACCTCATGCGCATGTGTCAGCCACATATCTCGAGACCCGGCAATTTTGAATCAATTTTGAATCAATTTTGAATCAACGATATTGCACTTGCCTCCGTCGCACTGATGTACCAATTGTCAATTAAAAAATATTAAAAACAAAATCATTCACATCTGTCTCGTAATTAATTTGTTAATAAATCACCTCCGCAAGACAATTATTTTTATTATGAATTTCATAAAAAATCTGGGATGCAAATGCAATTTTATTTGTCCGCAGAAACATCGATATTACATGGGTTCCAGGCAATTCCCGGGTACACAATTCCAAACGCCACAGACATCTCCTTCTTCATGCAAAGCAGTAACTCCCAGTTGCACTGGGTAATCGGGATCCTGGATCCGAATGGAATTTCGCTACTTCGATTCGATGTAATAATTCAAAAGCCGTTCACAGCTTAGAAATTAACAAAAGAGATTGAAATCCCAATATTTTTCTCCAGGAGGCCAAGAGGTTCACTCCAGTCTACTTCTTCCCCCTGGAAAACGGAGAGCAGATTCTGGCAGACAGCAGAGGCACCTCCACCCTCTTAATAATCCGTCAATGCAACGGAATAATAAAGGTACTGCGCTCGTTCCTGACGGCAAATGGTCAGATGACGATGATCTTGGTGCAGACATTGCCAACGACCGGAGCAACTCACGCAGGGACATGGAGGGGTTTGAATCGGTTGTACCTGGGGGTGTCATTTCCCGAGCAGTTGAGAATCTACGTCTGGCAGGGTGAGAACTTCGACCAGATCGAGCCCCTGGACATCGGTGCCGAGAGAATAATTCCCCTGCAGACGGGTGGTACGATGGTGCTGGCAGCCACCGGTATCACCACGAGGATCATCTCCTTTCAACTGAAAAGCGATAAGTTCATCGTTACGCAGGAGTTACCGAGCTCCGAAGATGCTGCAAGCTTTCAGCGAGAGAATAGCCTCTTCGTGGAGAACTTCCTGGTTCTCACAGGGATCAACTCCACGATAATCTACAGGGAACGAAAACACAGATACATTCCTTACCAGAGGCTGGAGGGCGCACACCAGGTGCAGGCACTCTCCAGCGATCGAAAGGTTCTTCTTTTTCTTATCCAGAGACTCGGTGGAATGAGGGTCTTCCAGTATGATGGCTGGAGATACTCAGACCTGCAGATCTACATGCCAAAAGTCACTCAGCTGTACCCCACGTTCCTCCCGGATGGTAGCTTTGTCCTGGCAATGAAGAGCAGTGACCACAATCAGTGGACCTTCCAGAGAATGATCTGGAGAAAAAAGAAAACGTGGGATTCACTCAAGGAAGACATCCTGAAGTGGTGCACGGATTCCCTGCAAGCAGCAGAAATTTCTAAAGTGGAGATTCCAACCCTGAAGCATCCTCTGGTATTCCAAAATGTACGAATTAAAAATCTGACTACTCAGAGTGTCAATGGCCGAGGCTCACAGGAATTTTCTGACATCACGAGAATTTACAAAAGAGTTATCTCTCGTCTTGAAGACGTAAACAAACATCTGGAGACAGCTGTCTCATTGGACAAGCCAGTCTTCACGAGTCTCTCAGCTGAGAGTATCAGGGTGATGTCGAAAGTCATCACGATGAATATGAACCTCTCAATGCCCGAGGAGTTCATCAGCAAGCTTCGAACACCTGGTGATCCAAACAAAAACATGATATTCGAGAACGTGAGGACGACGTCGATAGATAATTTCAAGTGTCCCATTCCCGCAATCAGGTACGAAGAGATCAGTGTCACTGGTTTGGTGAATGGAATATCCTTCCAGTCCTTCGTGGATGACGCGTTGAAGACGAATGAGGAGAATCAGACGATAAAAGGGCGCTTCAGTTTCGATACTTTGATCGCTGACGACGCAGATCTCGATATTGATGTAGCATGGAAAACCACGAGGCAGGAGCTGAGATTTATGAGCATAACGGCCGAGGATTTGCACACGGCCTCGGGTTATCTTCTCCCCCTGGATGGAGATCCTGTGACGATGACTGGAGATCTGACGGTGTCTAGAGTGAAGATGGGAGGACTCGTTGATGTTCGAGGGCCCATTCAAGGAGTCAGTGGCGATCGAATGCGCCCCATGACAGACATCTCCGCGCCAATGGTGCTAGAGGGTCACTACCACCTCGCCGACGTAAAAATTGATGATCTCCTGGAGGCTGAGGACTTGTCTGGGCCCAACGGAGAGTCCTACAGGGAAATCCGGCGAAGCGCTTTGCCCCTGAGATCCAAATCCATTCCCATCCACATGAAATTCCTGAGTAAAAACGTCGAGTGGAACAATGTCACCCTCATCGAGCCCCTGGGCAAGTGGATCACCACCAGAAGCCCTGGAGTTAACGTCACCGGAATGAAAACAGTCTCCAATCTGACGGTATCACAATCTGTGTACGAGGGACTTCCACTTCCAGTCATATCCACGACGGTCTGCGCTCTAGGAGTTTTCACCCCTGACATCTACACCACGAACATCACCCTCAAGAGCTTGCGTGCAGATTTACTGAAAGCTGTGGAAATATTCGGCGCTTTGGAGCTGGAGGATGCACTCGCGGACGCAGCGAGGAGTTGGGAGGAGGTGCCCTGGGAGTTGAAGAACATCACAGGCGAAGCGAGGGTTGTGAATTCATCGATATCCCAGGTTGCGGATGTCGATCTTCGGGGGCTTCACGAATCCCTGGGGAAGTGGTCAAGCCCGGGTGTTCTCAAGGGTCCGATTCATGTGAAAACTCTAAGGGTGAAGAATGTAATGGCTCGAAAGGGATTCAATATTTCATTACCGAAGATCGTTAGCCAGCTGGAGGCATTGGGTAACGTCAATGTCAAGTGGGTCAATGGGATTGATATCCTAGAATTCATTGATAATGCTGTGGAGCTCGATGACATGATATCCCTGACGAACATCACTTTCCTGGGGGGGCTGTCCGTCGAGAGCATCACCACCACGACCTCGAGTATTCCATTGTTGTCGGGTTTGGGAGGAATATTCGGGGCTAAAACAATTACCGGGCCCTTCAACACCGAGCACTTGATCATTCCGGATCTTCTGGCTTTTCCTACAGATGATGGACCGGTGGAGTTCGTTGTGATCGGCAACGTGACCTTCACCAATGAGCCGACTGTCGAGATAATTAATAATGTGCACTTGGATAAATTGTCTGATGAGATCTGGATGAAGGACAAGCCGGCGACGTTCAAAGGGAGATCGGTATTCCTGGAGAATGTGACCCTTGAGGGTGCTGTCGAGGTGTTAGGGCAGATGAACACCCCAGGGCTCGGCCCCTGGTCGGAATTACGGGAGAAGATCTTCTCGAAATCGTTGGATCAAGAGATCCCTCAGAAGATATCAATTAAGTCTCTGCATGCCGGGAGAATAATCGGATCTCCCACATCTAGACTGATATCATCTCCATCAACCGGTCTTTACGACCTCGAGTTCAATTCACTCAGGAAAAATGGCGATCAAACGATCTCGTCACCTTGGAGTTTCGAGAGTATAAATATCCAGGGCAATGTGACAATAAACGGTGTGATAAACGATCTTGATTTGAACAAGGATGTTCTCAGGACAGACGTGGAGAACAATGTGATAACTGGTAAAATAATCGTCAACACCTTGACAGCGACGAATATCGATGGCCTGAAATTCGACGAATTCGCGAGGAATACGTTGAAACGTAATGATCCCCAGGAGCTCGTGGTAATCAAAGGGAAAAAGACGTTCAACAGCATGAGAGTTAAGTCTTTGAGTCTGACGTCGATCAAGGGAAAACGCATCGAGTCTTGTCTCCTGAGGCACTCCAATCAGACGATCACGGGAAAAAAGATGGTGACAGGAAGGCTGAGGGCACCAGGAATCGTAACCGAGGGTCTCATCAACGATGTGGACCTGACGAAGCTCTTGGTCTATCAGCTGAAGAAGAATTCATCCTTCCAGGTGATCGAGACGCCGATTGTTTTTCAGAATGGGTTGAGAATCCTGGGGAATCTCACGATTGATGGGCCTTACCAGGGGGTCCAGGTGGAGAGCCTCGGGGAGAGCAGACCCTCGGCTCTTCGTGTCATGAAATTACTGAAGCAACTGGCGAATTATTCGCGTTACGCTGAGGACATTGATCTTGTCTTCAGCAGTCGTGCATTCTATTTCGACAAGTTGGAGTTGATTGAGGAGAGCTCAACGCCTTCTGTTGGGACTCCGGGTAATGCTCCGGGTAATCAGTCAATCAGGTTTGATGTGTTGGGGGATTGTTCTCTCGATGATTATCGACTTCGCTGCAATAGTACGGGCGTCGTGGATTTATCGGGGGTTCTTAACTCCAGTCATGTCCTGGAGTTGAAAGCTGGTGCTCTTGGAGGCAGTTCTCGCATCGTCTGCGTCACCTCCGCTGCACCTGGGGGAGTTTCCATTTATTCTATTGATGAAGATACACTCGCCATTTCAAAGGAAGCGGAATTACTCGTGCCAGGTGTTCTCCAGGCGTCAGTTGCTACCTACATGGGATCAATCTGGATTGTTCTTGGACTCCAGGATAATATGATGATCTTGAGGTATCGCGACGGCTTTCAGGAGTTCGTCATTCCCCCCAGTGAATATTTCGCTCTGAGCCCGGGACTCGGGGATGAGCTTTTGCTGTTCAGAAATGATGGGGTCTGGAGAATTGGCGGCGTAGCAGGAACAAAAATGATTTTCAAGGCCAATCTCAAGGGGAATATCACAGTTGCTCGTCGTGCTGCAGTCCTGTACGTGCAGCTTTGTCAGGGAAATGATACGTCTTTGCTGCAGGCTCATTATGTGGGAAATTAATCCAGTAATTTATTCGTTTTCGATGTAATTTCTCTATTTGTGGAAGGAGATCATCTTTTTTAGGTGAAAACAGATGATGATTCTAGGGTTTGTTAATTTTTTATGGGGAAAATGGTATTTGTTTGTGGTGTAGCCATAAAAATATTGTTATATCTATTGAAATAAATTTAGATATATGAGAATGATTTTCAGATTCCGTGAGTCTGATACGGCACTGTTGCATTAATGATTTCGTTAAATTAAACAAACGATAAGAACCCAGATGCTCAGAGACCGGATCATGCGACAGCCTTGGGTCATGAGAAAGTGTCATTGAAATATCTTGAGATCGTAAACATGACTCAATCGTTATTTGAATTGCACTGAGTGCCAAGATCGGTAAATGGGCGTCAATTTTTCCTTTTTTAAATTCTTTTTGGTCTTTTTATTTACTGAGAGGTGAGATGTATTTTGAATTATCAATTTTTTGAGGGGCTATTCATTGGAATATTTCCGGGAGATCAATTCCTCGAGAGTGGGGGTGGAATTATGAGATAAATGGAAACTACGCGGTGTCGCATGCGATTTTTCAAGGACTTCAGACGAGTATTTCATCATCTTCTCATTCCCGGACTCATCAGTCAATAGATTCATTCGATACCGAAATGTCTAGTGAATCCGAGATAAACGAGTGCTACGAAGAAGCTGAACGATTGGTTTTAGCAGCTGGAAAGGTCGATTATTGTTCATTATTTATTCAATATTTGAAAAGTGAATTTGAAAGTCATTCTGAATTATTGTTGTTGTTTATTTATTTCAGTTAATCGTCGAAGTTTTCGAATCTGAAAAATTGGTGGAGCAGAAAGACGATGATGGAGTCGACCTGGTCACTGAATATGATCGGAAGGTTGAGGAGATGATTGTTAATAATTTAAATAGAAAATTTCCGGGCCATCGGTGAGTTCGGGGTGACGTCCACGGATGTTGGATTGAATCATTATGCTAATGTCCAGACGGGATTATGACTGAATTGTTGAATTGCAAACTGAGAGGAGTATTTAAACTCCCGTTGACGACTAGTTTTGTTTTGTACCAAGAATGCACATGAATATTCAGTCCTTCAGAGGATTGTGGAGAGAATGATTCATAAAATCTCGTTTTTATGGATTCGTTTCACTCTTGGAAATTTCCTGAATTTTCAGTGACGTAATCATAACTGAAATTCCAATATTCTCGATTAAATTCAATTTTAATAATAATAATTAATAATTTTCGTTTTTTAACGTCAAGCTCAAAATAAATGACAAAATCCATGGAATTCGTGAAATATTCTAGATTCATTGGAGAAGAAGAAACCGCAAAGGCCAACACTATTCCAGAATTTACAGAAGCTCCAACGTGGATAATAGATCCAATCGATGGAACCACCAACTTCGTCCACTGTTTCCCAAACATTGGAATCTGCGTTGCCTTTTCTGTGAAGAAAATCATTGAATTCGGGATTATTTATAATCCCATCACAAAGCAATTATTCACTGGGCGAAAAGGAAAGGGATCCTGGGTGAATGGGAAACGACTGAGAACATCGACAAAACAAGGCATGCACTCATTATTCCAGGAGAGTCTCTCCAAAAATTAATATTAATACTCTCCACACCGAAAATAGAATAGAAATCCATTCCCATTTGACACCACAATTTTTCTTTTTAAATAGCGCAGCCACTGATTGTTGACGATTTATTTTCATTATTATCAATTTTTCTTTCGTAATAGTAGAATAAAAAATTGTTAGGAAGCAAAAATGAGTAAAAGTGTATAAATTTCGTAGATTTATCTAAATGCCTCGTTGGCATGGAGCCCTGGATTGCTAAGGATAAGAATTATAGACCCAGTGTTTACAGGAGGATGGATGCAGTTATTCAAAGTACTAGAGGGTAAATAGAGGTAATGATCGATAAATTGAATCGAAGTTGTGTACATTGAGGAATTTATCATTTTTTCAGCTTGCGAGTGATAGGAACGGCTGCACTAATGCTCTGTTATATTGCAATGGGAGCAATTGAAGCTTATCACGTGGAAAGTGTTTCTGCATGGGACGTAGCGGCTGCTAAAGTCATCTTGGAAGAGGCGGGTGGTGTAATTATTGATATTTCAGGTGATGTACACGATTACGTATGAAAAACGACAAATCGAATAATTACCTTGAAAAATCCCAACAAAAAATATTTTTTCAATTGAAAAAATTATTGCGTCCAAACATTACAGCTTAAAATATTTCAATTCTTTGGAATATTTTCAGGGTTAATATTATTATTGAATAAAACTTAGACCACCGTCGGAGACCGCTCTAAATTATTTTAATTTTATTTTATTCGAAATTAATCTCTGATTTCTCGTTAATTCTGTATAATCAGATAATGTATATTAAAATTATTAATATTAAAATTTGAATGTGAAATAGGAGGAGAACTTGATCTCATGCAGCCCAAGGTGATCGCTGCCTGCAATCGATCGATAGCCGATCAATTGATTCAGTTATTCGATACCGCATCGTCAGGATCTAGTGATTCAACCATGGAGGCTCTGGTCAGATCATAGAAGTAAGAAAATCGATTTAAACTTTATTTGATATTGACATTTCATTCTCTTTAACAATCTCCCATGAAATAGTGATTAATTTCCCACTAAATAATTTTGATAATTACATAACATTCATTTTTATTTCAATTACATTATATTTGAGTTACATTTTTGCGTTAAACACACATTGCGTTGGGAAATACATATATATTCTGTGATATGTGTTACGTATATAATTTTCCGTGTAGATACGGTAATCGCATAGGTTTTTCATCTGGTTCACCAATTCCTGTGTTCGAACCGATGACGTCTCTTCGGGTTTCTATCATTCGAGACTTTCTTTTTGTGTACTGCATCCTCTTTTATCCAAACACTGCACTTGTCGTCAGGATTCATAGGACTGCCTGCAGGACAGTTGAAAATCTTTCCGAATTCGTGAGTATTCGAAATTGAACCCAGAACTCGGTATTTCCCTGGGCTGTGAGAATCACTCAATACATCCTCCCTTTTGTGATACTGTGGAGTTGATACCTCGCACCACAACTACGAGAACAATTTTAATCCATCATTTTTTATGATTGTCAATTGAAACCCCGAAAAATCAAAGAATCTTTCAATATCAAAGTGTTTTAACGAAGAGAACTGAGTTGACTCAACTCTTGACTCAATTTTTTCTGAATATCTCCAGAAATAAAGAAGATATCGAAATTTTTGTTATAACATTTTTTGCAGCTCTGAATTAGCTGCAGAAAAAAGATTTTAACAAAAATTTGGTTATCTCCATCAGGTTCGGAATTATTCCCACTGTGCGCAGGACACAGTACAATCGGGTTATTAATTTTACCACTTGCTGGTGATTTTGTTGCTAATTGCAGAATAGATTATTATCATTACTCGAATAATCAATACAAACCCCAGCGAAAGATATGAAGAACATTTGCTCGTCGGTGTATTTTTCGAACCCTGGAAGCTTCAGTTCTTCACGTTGTCTTTTGTTCTTCTGCATTCTCCTGTACGCTCGATAAACAGCTTCGATTCCGGTGGTGTCGGCGATATTTTCCTGGACAGTTCGCTGCCCCCTGGTCTCCGGACTCTCGTCACTATCTGGAGGTGCGAAGGTTTGTCCTCCGTAGAATTCATCGAACTGATCGATGAAGCATTTAGCTTGCTTGTAAAAGTTTTCAGCCACAAAAGCATAATGCGTGCCGTTCACACGTAGCCCTTTACAAAACAAATAAACTCAAATCAACCTTGATTATTAATTAGCCCGGTTCATTAAGATGTCATGTACGCACCAGCGTAATCCAAACCGTGACCCATCTCGTGACCAATTACCACTCCAGCGGTGGCATAATTGACGTAACTATCAGAGAACAGACAAATTTACTGGTAAAATGTTTTCTTTTGTTGATAATTCATAATTACTCACTTGGGGACTTTCTCGCCGAAAAGCGGCGGCTGGAAATCAACTGCCGGAACCACTGGAAATTTTGATATCATTTGTAAATATTACCAATGAGTCTGAGAATCTGAATTATTATGGAATTTCACGTGAGCTCACCCATTATATTTATATCCATGGCATATGCTGCGTTAACAGTCACGGGGTCCATCATCCATCTGAAATATCACTGCATGTACTGAACAATAATTTACAATTAACGTCAAATTTTCATAAATTTTCTTACGCCTCATTTCCTTTGTATCCACCGAACGCACGAATTGCTAACCTCTTTTCGTACCTCATATAGCTCAATACATTGTCCAAATATTCATTTCCAATCGTCAGCTGCGGATGAAAAATAATACAACAGTATAATTGTTTAATCCATCATTGAATTATTGTAAATAGATTTTTTAGTTCATGGTGTCACCGCACCCCTTTGTAATGATTCATAACAGCTGTTTCATTCTTGTACCAATCTGGGAATCCCACCATTGTTTGCATCGTATTAACTTTTTCAATGGCTTGTTTCTTTCCTTGTTCGGACAGCCAATTGGAGCTCTCGATCTGACATTTTAATTCTTTCTGGATGTTCTTCATCATCCTGAGGACCTGAATAATTTATTCATTATTTCATTTCCACCGCATTGACGTTGCACTGAAAATAATAGTCAAAATAGTCAAATAATTACAGCCTTGTGAGAATTTTCTTTGGTGTATTTAGCGATGAATAATAGTCCAGTCGCATCTGTCATCTTCACTGCTTGCACACATTCCTTCCAACTTGAAATAAAAAAAAAAGAATTCACTCTGTCCTTTTTTTACAATATCATAACAACAATAATCTTCATAATAATGTTATCAGTATTGTTCGGTGATAATTACCGAGGCGGTCGTTCCTGCACGCCATATTCTTCCTTGACGAGTTCAAAGAACCCGTCAGTTACCTCATCAGTCGTATATGGCAGCGTTCGACTCACGAATTTCCAGTGAATATAATTCACTACAGAAACAAATAAAATATTTAATAAACAAACATTCAATTATCGCGCAAAAGCTGAAGATGATTCTTTTACCGATCGTTCGTTTGTCCACTGACTCCAGAATTTTTGGCAGCCGACGATAATACCGCAAGGACGCCATGCCAACGGGAACGCTGCCATTGACTTTGACATTTGCAAGATCGAATAATCGTTGAAGAATTTTCCACCAATCGACCTGAATCCCAATGAATCAATGACTGGGAGTAAAAAATTTTATATCTTATCGGTAATAATTACATTTGCCTGCGGATCTTTAATAGATTGTGTGCGATTATGCCACCACTCGACGAAGGTCTCGAGATCGGTCTCCTCGAGGTCATCATCCTCGAAAAGTTCTTCCAGTATATCAAGGGGACTTTCTGGCTTGCCTGCCTGAATTTCAGTTAATTAACAAATCACAGACTCTTCAAGACACACCATTCGAATATTTCTGATTAATTAATTGTTGAACATAGTTGATAGAGAATAAAATACCATGTAGATAGCCTTCTCCAGCTTTATGATCCCCTCGACGTCCTTCTGCAGCTGTTCTTCAGAAACATCAGCACGTGTGTGTTCAATAAACAGTCTAGCCACAGCTTTTACCAGATGTTGATATATTTCATAGTCATCTCCAGTGTAGTTTCTGTATTTCGAAGGAAGCATCTCACTCAATGGCAATGATGGCTGGAAGAACTGATGGCAAATTCATAAGTTAGGTAATTATGTGATTGTCATCCACTTGAAAACAATTTCAAAGACACATCTTACGAGCAATCCTTTATCGGGGTCTTGACCTGGCATGGAGATTGGGTCTATTTGCCAAAATGTGTAGTCCCCTGTTAAATGTGCGTAGAAATCCTCAACTTCTTGCCAGGACATGTCATCATCATGCCATTCCTCGGCATCCATGATCATTGGCCATCCACCATTCTCCATGACGAATGACTCGATAGGCTTCAGTCCTCTAGCCTCACGAGCCTCTGCACCATCACCAAAATTAATCCCTCCATTAATCATAAATATTACAAATACTAACTTGTGTCCATGCAGGAACGGTACCACTTCTTCGCCTGTCGAATGGGAAGAATCTCGTTGATCTCATCATCGGAGTCATCCTCCAGTAGCTCTGGAGGACATCAAATTGTCGTAATTCAACATTTGATTTCATTCATCATGAAAATTCAACTGCAACATTATTACAACATTATCATAAATCGATTACCTCTAATTCGACTCTCCACCATCGATTGAAAATGCGAGAATCTGCTCCACGATGCCTCATATTTTGGAATAGGATCCTTAGCTGCCCATCCACCACAAGCGAAATCATAAAAATTCTCACACGGATTGACAGATTCGTCTATCGTCTCGTGGAATGCACTAGCTATTGCGCGACATTCGTCGGACTTACAAACTTTCGCCTTTTTGTGTTCAACAATATCATTTTCCGTATTGTCCACTTCATTTTCAGATCCCTCAGCTTCCTCCAACGAGAACAACCAAGACAAGTCATTCGGAATATTTCGTCGCTTGCCATGCAAATGCGATGTCGAGGATAACGACAATATCGCCAACAATACTCTAAACAAAGAATGAAAATAAAAATTGAAGTAACTAGAAAATAATCAGCGAGATGACAGTAAATTAAACTCACAACAATGCCTTCATTGTGCTAATTTTATCGCGACGGCATACGCATTCAAACGACTGACAAACAATTTCAAATGAAAAAGTTTTTATTTAAAGCTGACGAGAGACCGGAAGAGCTTTTCTATCTCCTAGGCTAATGAGGATGCAATATCATCTTCACTGCCGGTTTTCGATCCTTCCTGACAGGATGCGATAAAGATTCGCGGCAGTCGCGAGTCAATTATCTTCTCTGATTTAATCAATTTTCCCATATTGAAATTAACTAGAACAAGGAGACGACAGATTAATAATTTCGATAACTCATATCACTAGAAAGGAGCATCCGAGAGCATCAGTCGCATTATTATTTAAGTAATTAGTAATTAATTGATTGAATTATTGGAACTGTAGGGACGATATGCGTCAGCTTTCGGTGATGCCTGGCAGGATGTGATATAATTAATGGAACTGATAGATTTATCTACTATTTCCGAGGCAAATTAATTCGTACACTCTTGACAATCATATTTATTATTGTACATACTCAATTCCAAGGTGCTGTTAATTATCTTTAATATTTAAAAAGATGTGGAAATTAGGAGAATAAATCAGGGCATGAGGTTTTCATCGTTCAATTTCCAATTGAAGACTTTCTAACAGGATCCATGGGACTGCCAACTGGGCAATTAAAAGCTGTAGTAAACCCTGGATGATTATCTATAAAAAATAAATTAATTACAATCGTTCTACACTGAAAAAAAAAATTTCTTTAACCAAGAATATTTAATAACCACAAGAAAATATTCTTGGCAAAAATAATTTTTTTTCTCAGTGTAATACTCCACCGCGGGATATTTTATTCCAAAATACCTGAGTCCAACCGGCAACGAGAGTATACCCCAGCGATTGACGTGTTCGCAGGAACAAGAATAAATAATTAAAAAGGAAATTCAAGAAACTCCAGAAATTACTCGCTAATACTTCCCAGACGATTGAGACCTGAAGCTCGTGGAAGATTTCTGTTATCAATAGCGGAAGTACTCAGGGTCTGCCATCCAAAGAGAAATAAATTATTTAAACTTTAAATCTATACTCAATGGAAAGTTATTGATTTTTTTATTTTTTTCTAGCGCAATTCCTCCATTCACAGAAAATCTGATCATTACTTTTTTTCCAGAATCTGCAAGAACTTTGACGTCTTCGCCCTTGGAGTCTTCACCTCGTGACTCTCTTCTTTGTGGATGATGATCGTCTCTATATAACTGAGAGAAAATGAAAGTATTGATCCGAAATAGAACGAAATCGGTATTAATTCCCTAAAAATAAAGTTGAAATTTCATTGTACCGATTGTTTTCTGAGTTTCTCCTCATTTTTCTTTCGTTCCTCGATGGCATTGTTGAGAGCTGCCTGTTCAGCTGGTGTCATAACGACTAATCTGGGATCCATGGCAATCCAGCTGCTGTGAATAATCTGATCAACACTCCATCGTTTCGCGACTTCTGGCTCCAACAGATTCATCACCAGCTTCTTAACTTGCTCACTGAGACTGTCAGCAACTTTTTTCCGAAATTTCCACTTGCGATTCATCTGGATTTCGTACAATTTTTTTAAATTTGGCTCGTCAAAGGGCATGGCCTTGTTGAGGATTATGTAGAGGATCACCCCAAGGGACCACGTGTCAGCAGCTTTGGGATTGTACGGAGCTCCACGAAGAATCTCCGGTGCAGCGTACATCAGGGAACCGCAGAATGTATCACTCAGAACTTTTTTACCCCTCGGATCAATTACATAACGTGCAAAACCAAAATCAGTTAACTTGACGTTATTGTTGGCCGTCAGAAGGACATTCTCGCATTTGATGTCCCTGTGAGCTATCTCCATCTCATGGAGGTACTGGAGTCCTTCAATTATTGAATAATCTAAAGAATCAATTATCAAATAAAATTGTTAACTGGAAATTACGTACCTAGAGCTAATTGTCTGAACCAAACGCGGGCTTGGTCTTCGTCGACGGCTCCATTCTTCAACGTGAAATCGAGAAGATCTCCATTCTCCGCAAATCTCATGAAGATGAAGTACCTGCAGCGTCTCTGGAATATGCTGTGCACGTGGACGACGTGAGGATGATTTAACTTCGCTAGGATATCCAGCTCTCGTGGTAGAAATTTTTTAACAAAATCCTTGGGTGCCTTGGACGTGTCCACGATTTTACAAGCTAGGGGACTTATCTGCTCGGGTTCATTCTCTGGGGTGTACTCTGCCAGAAACACCTGAGAAGGGTCATCCCCTTGGAATTATTAATCCACGGGTGATCGATCGATTAATTACCTTTGCAAATGAACCCTCTCCTAATTTTCGCAGTAATTTATACCCACGTGATCGCAATGTCAGTTCTTCGGATGGAGTTTGATTGAGTTCAACCTGCGACATGTGCTTTTAACCAATTAATATTATTTACAGCCTTCTCACCCCCATAATTTATTGCATAAATAATTCCCAATCAATTTTTAATACGAATCCATCGATTCTGACTACCGATCATGCTCAAATCGTCGTGAATATTCACATTGATAGATAAATACCAAGATTTTTTCATTTTTTATATTTAATTTCGTGTTCACAATTTTTAAACAAAATAAATGACTGCCGATTTCACTCGTACCGATTCCAGCGATTTGTCGAGCGCATCGATCGATTAATTACTGCCTTTTCCAGATTTCTAGATAAAATTGCATAAAGTACAATTAATTTTTCATTTCATAATATTTGAAAGCTTTATATAATTCTCTCTGGCGGTATTCGATTGATAATAATTTCGATATCGCAGGATCGAAATACCCTGAGAAGGTAGAAATACGGGAATTAGACTAATGAAGACCGATGATGAAATTGGAGATCGTAATGAAAAAGAAGTGCTCTCTCTAATTGATTGATATTGACCTCTTGCACACTGTTGCCATTAATTATGACGAGTCTTCTATATTTATCACCGACCCGATCGAGCTTTACAGATAACGAACCCCAAGCATTCTCCACGTTTCAATCGATATCCCAACGGAGGGAAAACGTTATTCAGAATTGACAGAGATATTAATACACAGATGTGGTTTAGTCTGCAACCGACGCTGACTGCAGTGAATTCTTCCAAACACTGGACCAAGTACCTGGACGAGATGATCGAGTTCAGCGATGACAGAAATTATTTCATCATCGATCAGGTGAGTTATTTTATAACGAATCAGCACTAATAATCGGTAGTAATCACCGACTTAATTATCAATTAATAATAATTAAAGTGATATCGGTGTGTAATCCAGACCTGAAGACATCAAATTTCGACTTGTCCTTATTTTAATATTTCCTGTTTATTGCGCATTTTCATTTAATTCTATCATTTCTATTTTATATTTTGTGTTTGAAGAGTTATGAGTGCGTTACCAATTCCGAAGAATTTCTAATTTATTCTTGAACGTTATGCAAAAATCGATTTATCGGTAATGTTCCAGAAATTATCCAAATACTGATAAAATTCTTATTTCTTATCAATTTTTATTGTATAAATATCATATAAATATATATTTTTTTTATATTCCATCAAAATCACCATAAATAATAAAAATAAGATTTATTCTCTTTACAAAATAAACAGAAACTTTGATAATTGAGATTAATAAAGCACACGTCAGTCGAAAAATTTTTTTTTCCACATAAACTTTTTATTTCATCAACAGAACTATTGTACAGCAATAGAAATTAATTAATTTGTAATTTACATTTTAAATTGCAACGTATAAACAACGAAGAGATAAAGGGCAATAATTTTGTAAAAACCGTTCGATTCATCGAATAGATTTCTTCAGCTTCTCATCGAGAAGCTGATGTACAGCCTCAGCCCCACCAGTTCTCAAAGTTCCTCTCAAGTCCTGCATTCCAATTCCAGAAGAGACTAATCTCTCAATCAAGTCGTCACTCATTCCAATTCTCCCCTCAGCCTTCAGTTTTCGGTACTCCCTCTGCATATCGACCCCTTTCAATCGACTCCCAATACCCGCCAGCAGTTCCCCAACTGTTTTCCTGCTCTCGATGAAACGAAAGTCCTCGATGTTGATCCTTGGATGATTGACGAGATTTTGCATCATGATGACGTCGTTCATGGCATCATGTGCTCCACAGCAATCCCCGAGAAATTCCGAAGCCATTGAAACGAGTTTGTAATTCTTCCCCTGATCACATCGACCTGGCAGGAACTCCTTGAAGAGGGGGAGTGTGTCTGAGAATCCATTGACAATTCTCTGGAAGTCTTCCATCATTCCATTCTGGTGGAGCAATGTCAGGAGCATTGGGGCATCGAACCGGAAGCAGTTGTGAGCGATCAGGATCACTTCCCCTTCGATCGACTTCAAGTACTGGATGAAGCTCCCAACAGCTGATTCCTTTGTCACAGCCTTCACAAGCTCACCCTCACGATTGTACATTCTGCCTTCGACTAGGGAAAATCCTGTCAGTCCGGTGATGAACTTTGGAATACCATCGTCTGGAATTATGTACTCGTTGTAATGTTTATCGCCACAACGAGCGGCTATTTGAATTATCTCAGAGGTCGGTTTCAGTCCTGTGGTCTCGGTGTCGAAGAAAACCAGGGAAAATTTTTCCATATCGAGTTCTTTAGAATTTCTTGAGTCCTCCATTGCTTTTAGGGCGACTTTCATAGACGAAAGGTTGAATGCCATTCTTGTTGAAGGTTGACTGCTGATCCTAATATCTCAGATTATTATTTATGAAAATTCATAAGTAGAAGAGATATTTTAACAATTCACAGGATTCTCATTTGCAATTGATAGGTCACGAAGAACAATTGTTGTTTCGGTATAATGAAGAAAACGAGACCGAACGCACGCTCCGCCCCGCCATTTGAGTCTGTTGTGTTTACATATCCAATTGACAAATGAGAATGAGTTTTATCCAGTTTTATGGGATGACCAATGAGAAATCCGTTTCGGCTCACCGCCCACTTTCCACTCCCTGTTTTTTTCTGACGGATTATTATTCGAATACCTACTTTTTGGAGCAGTTGTATAGTTGACAGGCCCTGACAGGTTTGTTGTGAGAGTTGTGACTGACAAAACATCATAAATGAGAGAGGGGATATAAACCTGTTGCTCTTTTGCGCATGACGGATGTCACGCCTCACGCGTCGAATACCCCGCGGTGTTTCAAATATTTTTTTAACACGATATGATTTCAGGTGGAAAGGATGATGAGAGAACGATGGAGGATAATTAGATGTACAACCAAGTACGGATGGCTCGTGGCTTATTACCAAGGATCAAAAATATCTCAGGAGCGGATGAAAATATTGATTAATCTCGCCAACAAAGTTAGTCCAGCGGTTATTAAACCCCACAGTAATTTAAATTGTAATAATAATTAATAGTTATTGATCGATTAATTGTCTGTAGATTGGCCAGAGAAATTGTGAAGTAGCTGTTGCTAGAATTCGCAAATTATCCTATGGAATTCATCCAAATCAAATTCCAATTGTAGCTGAGGCCATTCTCAACGAGATATACACAATCCTGATCTTGAAGTAAGTAATCCTGAGAAAATCCCTTTTCATGTTGTTATTTCATTTGATATATTATCGGAAGGCAAAGGAGGGAGTTTCGATGGGAAATGAAACGCCTGATACCAAAACCACCGACAGTGTTTACAATCTCCAACGATATATTTTGAAAGCGATTAATACATTCGATTGACGATGACTCAAGAGTCCCCTCGCTAAATATGTATAGATGAAAATAAAATGAAAGTAATGAATTTTTACATCTCTCAGTGGGATAAAAACAGACGTAAAAAAAAATAAAATCTCCATGATCTTCCAAAGAGAAAATGAAAACAATTAACTCATGGCTTTATCCCCAAAACAATGCATACAAAGAATAAAAAAAATGTAATGTTGAATGCAGTAAAGTAAAATAGATTTTTTTAGGCACTCAGGATCGCAATAAACATGTACAATGAATTTATGTGTACGTAGGTATTAAAAATACACACTCTTAGATAAAAAGAATTCGACTCTAGTCAAACATTTTACGCAATGAATTGTGTAACAAATCTCATTGGCCTATCCATTATTGAATATTGTCACACACGAAATGAATAATGTATACTGGTAACTGATTATCATATCCCGTGGATTCAGTTCATAATTATGTAAAAAGTTTCATTGAAAAAAGAAACACTAGCTGACTATTTGATTCAATTTCGCCAATAGTGTGGTCCCATAATTTTAAATAAAGTCTACAATCTCCTATTGTGCATCGAACATTATTAGAATTCCTGCTGTTTCATTAATCTACACTTCATTGTATTGAAATATCGCTCATAGGCAGCCAATGATTTTTCTGTGCTCTATTATTTCCAAATCTGAAATAAAAACAATGATTATTTATGTAAAAACACCAATATTCTGTCATTTTATTGTCTCCAATCATGAAGCTAGGAGCCAAAAGTGTTCACAGTCGTCCCAAATGTGAATGTTCAAGTATTTTTTTTTTTAAACTTTGTGCTTAACTTTTTAGTTCATCCCAATGAGCAACACCTAATGGCAATTAGTCGAGTTAGATAACTTACAGAGTTAGTTCGAGATGAAATTCATCTAGCTGGCAAATGGCGTGAATGATTATTGTTAGATTGTGGGTGAATTGAGATTAGGGCTGCCTGGAGTTGATGAGGGTGTCGATGGTGTACCTGGTGGTGATGCTTCCAAGGGGCACACCAAATTTCCGTAATCAATTTCACTCTTGCTCTTCTTTCGCTTCAGAGTGAATTGAGATTTCTTTGGTGCCTATTGAATAACAAATTGTTGTAAATCAATGAACAATATATTGGTAGAATAAACTCACCTTCAATCGAGCTGTAAGTGTCAATGGAACAAATCCAAGAGTAGTCTCCATCTCCCTCTTGTGCTGTACAACTTCTCTCCCCAGAATCTGATTGAAATGAGTCGTCAAATGTCTCCTCAACAGAGTTTTGGCAGGTGGAATGCTGAGCAGAGTAGCGAGTAACTCAGAGGTGAATCTTCCCTCATGAATAATGAGCCCCCCATGTACCCCTGATCCCCTCATATTGGGGGCATACTCAGCCAGATCCACGACTCTCAACCACTCCATAACCCTGTGATTCGTCCACAAAGCTACATTACTCCCATCAGCTCCATTTCCACTCACCGATCTTCTCTCTAGATTATCAAACTCAAAATTCAATTCACGGAGCACTTGGATACCACGACGCAAACTTGCTGCGTGGAGTTGAGCTGTTACACCGAGAGTGAGAAGATCCTCTGTGGTCAGTCTGTGAAGAACACGACCGTCTACTTTGGCATTGTGAAAAGCTTCCTTGTGCTGCGGTAGACCAACATCGTCGAGCCAACGAAGGACTGCTCCATTGTCCATCTAACAATAATTAAAACATCATTATAAATTTAAAAACAGTATTCATATTATCCCGAATTTTTTTAAAAGAACTGTTTTTTTCTTTTGATATTGCAATTTTGGAGACAAAACATTTTCATGATTTACAAAAAATACCTTTTCAGATCCGATAAATCCCACTGCATGACACCTCTCGCACTCTATAGCATACAGTAACTTTTTTCTATGAAGACTGTTCTTAATATCCAGTTCTTTCTCTATCTGATGGACCGTAGCATCGAGGAGTTTAGTGCCTGTAGCACCCCATCTCCTCAGCTCAGGTGCATAAGCCTCTAGACCTAGTCTGGTAAGCCACTCCTCCACTTCCTCCATTGATAAATCGTTCAAAGGCTTCGGAGGAGGCACTTCAGCACGAGCTAATGGCTCAGAGATCACGATTCTCTCCTCCTCAGCTAAAAAACAATACCTCTTCGATAAATTACTCTCAAACCTCCACTGAATTCCGGTATTCATGTCTCACTGAGAAATTCGTGCAAAATTCTACGCAATAATGCATGACTCAAGCAAGGGAGGAGAAATTCGTCATTACGTGTTATCTCTGTATTTCTGCAAAAATGCAACGAAATGAATTTGATGAAGAAATTGAAAGGATTAAGTGAAATAAACTTATAAATATATAAAGAACCAGAATTCCACTCGTTCGAGGAATAACTCTGAATCCATGAGAGATACCGAAATTCTTTTCATTACCTTTTTTATAGATTGCAATGAGATCTAAAAAAAAGATGAGCACATAAATTTTGATGTTTCTCTTAGATTCAGAGATATTGCACGATAACTCATCTATTTCCTTTGAGACTTGTCCATTTGATTAGAGAATTGCTCCACAAGTTTAGATTTTCAAATAAAAATAAAGGAAGGGTCATTCCAAGCACAATCTCAAGGTGCTTAGACATATTGAAATAACCTAGAGCCGGGGCAGATAAACATCTGGCTGAATTTCCTCTGACTGCAAGTGGTACCGTAGTTTGAGCACCCGATATTTGATGAGAAACCTTACCGAAGGCTACGCCTTTTTTCACTGATGTCGGAGGTCTTGGAAGGCTGCTATATTGCCCTGCGTGTCTGCTGAATTTTTCGCCCTTTAACGATCATAAATTCGTCAGTCTTACGCATAATCATATTTAATTCATTGCTCTCGCATTTTTTGTCCCGATTTGAAGGCGCAATTTAAATTATTGGATTATTGTTGTTCTTACGTTTGATATTGATGTTGCACTACGAAGTGCGACATTTTCATGCTCCAGACTCGCTTGTCGCAGTTTCATTTCTGATAAGGATGTTAGCAGCTCGAGTTTTTGAGTTTCTAGGGCACTTCGAGATAATACCTCCTGTAAATAGAGGAAAAAATCCATTCGGAAGTGAATAAAATGTTGATAAAGCTTAATAATTAAATCGTTGTTCTATGGAGGTGTCTGTTATTGTTATTACCTTTTGCAAAACATCTTCCATTTGTCGCATAGCATCTTTCTTCTCCTGAAGAATATTCTCGAGTTCTAAAATTTTACTAGACTGTGCATCGACTTGTTCAGATAATACTGATACTTCCATGTGTAAACCTGCCCTTTCATTCTCAAGTTTCCGCAATCTTTCCTGATAAACAAACCACAAAAAATGAAAAATCGAAATAATTCGAGAATTATTTCTCAACCAAAATGATAAAGACGGTGAATTTTTCGAAATAGCTCCGAAACCGTTGGAGATACTAAAAATTTCGTGATAACCCTTTCTACAGCTCTCCATTAGCTGTACAAAAAAGATTACTAGAAAAATTTTGCTATCTCGTTTACTTCGGAAGATATTTTTTAAAATCTAAAATCCTTTTAGCAGTTTTGGAGAATGATTGGTGTACAGGGTAGTGAGAGCGACAAATAATTTATTAATTGTTCAGACGATTTTATTATTTCGATCGTATACCTCGGTATTATTATTGTAGTAATTCATGTATGGATTACTGCCATAATGACACTGAAATTGCTGGAGGGAGCAGTAATGCGGTAGCATCGACCTCTCATGATCGCAGTAAAGAAGATCGCTCTGTGATCTGGCTCTCTGATCCCTGTCATTTCTGTTCCTCAGTCTTCTGCGTCTTCTGTCCAGTGACAGTGACACTGTACTAGATGTCTTCGAGTTACCACGGTACACCTGATCCTTGATATTTGGCTGATTCTTTCCTGATTGCAAGTGGTGATTGGCATTTCGATAGTCGCACGAGTCCCTATCAATTTTTTATCAATACAATTTATTGAAACATTTACGGAATAGAGGTCATCGGGGAAATTGTAATACCCAATTGGTGTGATGCAGTGACCAACTGTCAACTGAGGATGGGAAGGTACGTGATGAATATTAGAAGATCCTGTGCAGACATTTGGAATGCTCTGGTGAAGGGCAATCGATCTAGCGTAGCCCAGTAAACAATTCTAGAGATTCAAAATTAAAGATGGATTCAGTCGCTGGAAATTTATTATTTCCAATTTTTTTATTCAATTTTTCACCCCTTTGGTAGGCATTTGAAAATAAAAATTGACCTGGCAGAGACAGCCTTGTGATCTGCAGACCTCGTGATTCCTAGGGGCTGCAGGCAAATCTCCACTCATTTCCCTAGGATAATCCTCAGTGTATCCTCGCTCAGACGTCGAGGATGTCCCATCGGAGTCGTACGCCTCCGAAGGAGTCCAACGACAATCCCAACGTTTTACAGTAGACGTAGCATCCGAGGAATCTGAGTCTAAATTCATAGATCCAGTCACCAAAAAATCCCGACAATATTCAACAATATATTGTCACCCAGTGACTCATCAAAATCTAAAAATAACTGAATCCTTCATTGGATATGAAAATATTCTGCCATGAGTGAATTGTACGGACTCTTCAACAAAGAAATATTTTCCTTCAATTTTCCCCGATCCACTCATTGCTGAAATAATCCCAATTTTAACAACGCGGAATCAATCCTTCCTGATTTATTGTTTTTACAATGAATTCATTAGTTCAACCTTTTGGATGACTCTTGTCGTCCTCCTCCAGGATGGGGTCCAGATCCTGTCTCTCCGTGACACATCCATTCGTCCAGACTCCCTCCATCATCAGCACTTGTTTATAATTAATAAAAAAAACAGCACTTTTTCACAGAAAAAAAAATCCCCAAAACAAACAAAGAAATTGCACTTCACTGCACCCAGAGGGGCCACATAGTTCTCACTCCATCGACTACAATCCGAAGAAAAAATAAAATAAGGATCGATCGTTGATGAATCAATAGAGTATCGATAATAGATCAATAAAATGATTATCGAATCACTCGGGTATCACTCGAACTGAAATACGATAGTAGTAAAAGGTCCTATTCGACAAAAGCCGGTATAAATCACCTCAAACTACGCAAGTACAAAAAACGAGTTAAAAAAGTGTATTTTTGAAATATCGTCTGATGAAAATCGAAATGAACCGGGACGACACGTCTGATGTACGTCGAGCCTTTGAAGAGATGTCTTGGGCAAACGCCCTGTGTCCCACAGACTCAAAATCTAAATTTAAACAGCCACAAAATCCTCGAGACTGCCACTTATAAATAGTTACACTGTTTCTGTGAGCTTCAAATGAGTTTATCGCCACTGGCAGGGGAAGTTCGTCTCGAGAAAGCCCATGAGGGACGCCAAATGCTTCTCCTTACGGGGCCGAATCAGTATGATGGGAATTTACTCAGACGAATTCGTTATTCTTGCTCGTTCGGCCTGAACTTTTGCCATGGAAGCTGCGGAAAAAACTCGGGGGTTCGACGGAAACTCTTGTTCACTCGTTTGCATTTATGTTGGTGATCCAATTACGGAATTCATGGAGTTCGCAGCACTCGAGGTAATTCATTACCGCAATTAAATTGAGGAAATTAATTGGAGCAGTCGTTCAAGACCGAATCAATGAACTAATTCAGGGGATATATAATTTCACGTTTTTCACGTGTTGTTTGACGTGGAAATTCCGGGGATTTTTCATCTTTGAATTTTATTTTTATTTCTTAAATTTATTAATGAATTATTTATTTCATCCCAATAATTGATAATTGACAAATCTTTCTGGGATAATCAATTTTCATATTAAATAATTATCGTCAGGGCTTTCAGAGTTGGAATGAAATATCGTAGAGAAGTGGGTGAATGTAAATTATAATGAAAAAAAATGGAAAATAGCCCGACATTTATTCGTACTATCAATTTCTAGGGTGTCATCATTTCCTGATTAAACAGTCAGTAAAAAATATCGATTCCGCCGGTGGAGATAAAAAATTAACAGCGGAAAGCGTTTTATTACAGTGCAACGTGATTGGCAGATTGATTACCGATAATACACGTGCAATAGGGCCGGAAGTTCGGGAAAAGGGCATCCGGGCACTGGTGTCGCAGGAACCCTCGTAGAATTTCTAATAAAATTCTCCGTCTATTTTTTCTCTATCCTCTTTTTGTTTGAACTTACCGATTGCATCCACTGCAATAGAACATCTGATGTATTAGCATCCGGTGGTGGTGGCGGTGCGGGAGAATTTTGGATGACAGCCACAAGATTTCTTGCTGCCTCTCTCACCGAATCCTTCCAGTCTGTAGGTGTTTCTGCACCTTCTACACAAGCCCCTTCGCCAAAAAAAAAAAACAGAAAACATAAATTGAGTAGGGAAAAACAAGTAAATAACACGTGTCTCAACCCATCTGCAGGTTTTTCGAAAATATTCCATTAGAAAAGGGAGTCACGAAATTTTCGTGAAGACCTTTTTTGTAGAACTCACCGAGCTCTAGAAAAAAGGTCTCTATAACATGTCCAGTATCTCCCCTGATTTCGGAGAATTTCCCGAAAAACTCACGAATAGTCGACACAACTCACTCCTATTACTCCACCACATAATTAATGCAATATCATAAATCATAAATGCAATGTTTATAAAATAAATTATCCCCAAAAATTCTTCAGACTATTGATGATTAAAAAGTAAACGAGCTGTTTATCGAAATTAAAGAAAATCACGCGCACGAGAAATCTAAAAATAAAAAAAAAGAGAAAAAAAAAGATGTGGTACATTTTTTACCGGAAATAATGCCGTCCATTTGTAACAGTGCAGCTTCCAGCATTTTACTCGCCTCCGTCGAAGTACCAGTTATAAAAGTGCTGGATTCACCTCCTTCAGTTGTCCCCCCTTCCTCACCTTTTCCCATCGTTTTTTCCTGAAAAAAAAATCATTAAAAATCCCATTAAACACCTCTAATCCAAAAATATTACTCTCCACGAATCCTCTAATGAACTCATCAATATAATAACCTCCGGAAGGACAATACAATCATCATCAATTAACCATTAATTACTCTTACCCTTGAACGCCATAGTGACAAGCGTTTGGCGAAAATTTTCGGTTCGACAGGGAAATAAAATATTAATTTCGTTGATCAACAGGTATTCGGAAGCAAACACGCCCAATATGTCATCCACCATAACTACTGTCACCGTTTTCTCGCCCCCACATTTCTCCCCCTCTCCCCTCACCCTCCCCCTTCCACTCATTCAATTACAGACTATTAAAATGTCATTTGCCCAACTCATGTCTCACACAGTAAATCAATGTTTACTCTCCAAAGAAATTTAATTATTGATTCTTGGGAGGCAGATGAGGTATTTATTCCGGGATTTTAATATTCGATTATTCATCACATATGGAATCCTGGGAAATCAGCTGTTTCTGGAAATCAACGGATTTTAGAGGGATTAAATAAATTATTGTGGAATAGTTATTGAATAATCATTGAATCGTGAAAAACTTGGGGATCTTTTTTTTATGGAGCAATTTTCCTCAGGGTCTGGGATTTGTGGACGTTAAAAATTGAAGAATTTATTCGGTGATTGATAATTGATCTCGATTTTTGTTGTCGTTCTGTAAGAATTAAATGTTTAGTTGAATTTTTTTTATCGATTCGTGGGGGCTCCTTCCCGTGGAGATAGAACTCAACACTTGTTGCATGTCATATCTTCCGTTACTCCGAATCACGTGAAGAGTCGTTTATAAATAAAAAGAATTAATTATAAAGGCAATAGATAATGTGAAAAATTACCTCAATTTTGTTAACATCCACTGGGTCCTCGTGATAATTCCAGGAATTCCCAAAATCCCTCACAAGAAAAACCCCAACACTTCGTACACACTGGAAACTTCTCACTTCATTCACTAATTTCAGTTTTAAATAAATGACCCAGAGAAAAATTGCTGGGATATAATTCTGTCAAAACACTTGTTACGTATTTCTTCAGGATCACACAAAAGAAGGTTATGTCCACTCGTCACAGTTTTCACCCAAAAAATCGTGAAAAACCCGTGAACCCATGAAAAACCTCTGCAAAAACTCTCCCCCAAGGTCGACGAGAAAAAAAATTCACTATAACACCTGTCCACACCTACATCAGAGAAAAATCCTTGAAATCGTATACCCCGGGCGATATAAACCGATAAAATCAAATCTCCGCAAAAAACAAATACCTGAAAAAAAACCTCCAGTAAATCGTCAGCATTCAAAAAACACCTGGAAGAAATCTTCCCCCAATCAATCTCTCATATTTACCGACAAAATCCCGGATAACACGTCCCCGAGATAACAAAAGTGCTCCAAAAACACTTGCTCTTCACTTTACTCGTCACGTAAATTAATTGTAAACATCATTGCCCCCTAAACACGACAAAAAAATAAAAAATAACTGGATATGATGGCACTGTCATTGAATGATCTCCAAAGAGGCCAGACCGGGCTCAGGGGGTCATCGTGATCCTAGGAGTAGTAGTACCTACCCCACGTCAGTGAGGGCATGACAATCTATCAACATTCTCGAATGAACCTGTTACCAACTCACGTGTGTCAATTTCGTTTTAATTTTCCAGATGAATTCAGATATAAAAACAGATAAATCCAAAAACCCCTTTCACATCTCTCCCCCTAGACCGAAGGCCCGAAAAAAATACCAAAATCAGAAAAATCGAAGTGAAATCATGAAAGAAATCATATGTTCACCTGACGTGCCCCTGAGATTGTCAGCTGTTGTCAGCCCTGCGAAGTGATTGTATTTCAGCCTTCGAGTTTGCGTTGCAATTCCGCTCGTGGCTCTAGTTTCGACTTGAAAGCGAAAAAAAAAAGACAAAAAAGGAGTTAAAAGAAAAGGGAGAGATAAAAGAGAGAGGACAGAGGCGAGAAAAAGGAAAATATAACGTGAAGGATGCGTGTGGGATCGTAGTGGTGTAAATTGTGTTATCATTTTTTTTTTTTTTTCAAATCCATCAATCTCCGGATCTAATGGGCCCATCGTATCGATGTAAGTAGAATAAGGTGGTGGGGGGCAAGTGAAAAATATGGTTATCTGTATTCAATGAAAATGTGTGTGGTATCAGCGGAAAAGCCGCGAAAACCTACGTCACATTGTGACGGATTCAGTCGAAAACTGGGACAAAGTGCAGTGCACTCTGGCATTGCGATCTTACCCACCAGGTGTTTCTATGCCGTAATCTTCGCAGGATTGGGTAATACCCCCCTTCAGGTATACCCAATTGCACCTTGCTCTCCCAATAACATTTTCAACACTCCTTTTTTTTTTATTTCAACTCTGACTTTTTCATGGGTTTTATTCGTTTTATTATTTCGGGGGGGAGTTGGTGAGATACGCGTACAGGTTAAACTCGCGGGTTGTGACAGACGAAGGAGGTAATAATCAGTGGTTTGTGGTGGTGATTATTTTGGTTTTATTTATAAATATTGAGGGATTTTTTTTTGGGAATTTCAGGGGCAGAGGGGGGAGGGGCGGCATTTGAAGATGTGGTTTGAGTTCAGTTATTTGGGGTAATTGGGATGTGCTTGGGATACTTTCTGGTGGGATATGGAATTCGTCCCATTTGGAACACTGGCACTCTTTCGAAATACTTCCAAGTATGCGTTCAGAATTTACAAAGACTGATTTCACGGCTCTCGTGGTGATAATTGGGTCTCGGGATTTATTGGGAATTTTGTTATTTTGTGGGTTTTGAAAACTGAAATTTTTCAGTCTCTTGATTTTTTTGGGATATCTCAGGGTGAGCGATTTTTGAGTGAGTGATAAATTGGGAATTGTCTTTGGATTCAGTGGATTGCGAAATGACTCTCCCGGTGGGGGATTTGTTCATGAATAATTGACTGAGTTCTTTTTTTAGGGTAAATGAGGGAACGGAGGTAGTGGAAAGTGACCTGGTATAATGTCAGATGGGGTCGATGGAGGCAGCGGGGAAAACGAGGTAGACTCACATTCCTCCGCGCAAGCTGAACCTGGGGAGTCATCCAATAATCGGGAGGATGAGAGCTTGGATCCTGATAATGAGGCTGCTTTGAACACTAATTATGACAGTAGTGACGGAGCTGTACCAGTTTATAGGTAATTAATTGCTCGAATTCCTCCACCATTACACGTCCACGTGCGAGCGACCTTCATAGGTTTATTGGTTAAACATATTTTTATGAAAGAATTTGCAGGAAAATCTCATGCTCCTTAGGGTATTTGTTTTTAGATGTGAAAGATGTGACAATTACGAAACCATAAATAAAGCAGCATTTTGCGCCCATCAAGACCAGTGTCTGGCTGGTGGTGAGGGTGGTGAGAGTGTCGAAGGAATCGAGAGCAATGAACACGATGGGGACGGTGATGAGGGACACTCTGGACACCGTTCACACAGAAAGATGTTCGAGTGCGACGTCTGCAACATGAAATTCTCCAATGGAGCTAACATGCGTAGACACAAAGTACATTAATTGCTTTATCATAATTAAATAATTTTACGGTAACGATTGCCCGTTTTTATGGGGTATTATTGACTTTTAGATGCGTCACACTGGCGTCAAACCGTACGAGTGTCGTGTTTGTCAGAAGAGATTTTTCCGAAAGGATCATCTGGCTGAACACTTTACAACCCACTCGAAAACATTGCCTTATCACTGTCCAATATGCAATCGTGGATTCCAAAGACAAATTGCTATGAGAGCTCATTTTCAGAATGAGCACGTTGGTCAGCACGATATGGTCAAGTCCTGTCCACTGTGCAATTACAGAGCAGCTACGATGAAATGTTTGAGGCTACACTTTTTTAATAGGCATGGAATAGATTTAGATAATCCTGGACCAAATAGCTCGTCGTCCCTGTTGAGCAGTTGTTCACCAAACGAGGCGATGCCTTCAGCACCTCTATCTGATAGTGGTGATAGCACGGGTAATCGTTCGGCAGACAATGCAACACCACCGATGCACTTCTTGACACCCCACGTGGAGATATCAATACCGTATCCAGAACAGGCAGCTGGCCAACGCAATCCCAGTCCAGCACCATTGAATGGAGATAGTCCAAACAGTCCACAGAGTGCTGACAGCAACAGCAATGCACCAAGCAGTAGTCATCATCAGTTACCTATCAATAGCACTATTCATCGGTAATTATTTGAGAGAAATAAAAAGAAAATTCAATTAATCAAATCGAAAATGAAATGAAAATTAAATTTTTGAAAAATTGATTGGATAATTCTCTCGTATTTCAGGAGTGGCGGTGGTAGTGAAGAGGCAATAACACCATCAATATCCCTAATTCCAATAAAACAAGAGCCAAACAGCAATGGAATGGAGGATTCTGGTGCAACATCAAGCAATCATCCTCTTCCATCTCTCATAAAGGTATCACCACTGAAATCTCTGTTGCGCGATGACTTGAGACGCAAACTAACAAACACAACAAACAGTCACAACAATGGTACAACAACGATAAATTCTCACACACGTGGTGAGCCACCGACATCAACGAGGCCGGATCCCCGTTCCAGTGGTTTACAGTGTACCTATTGTCGAATAACATTTCCAGATCAAACATTGTATTTTTTGCACAAGGGCTGTCACAGCGAGAGCAATCCCTGGAAGTGTAATATCTGTGGGGAGCAGTGTTGCAATCTGTATCAATTTAATTCGCATTTACTGAGCAAGAGTCATCAATAGTAACGGGAAATTAATTAATTGAAGAGATTAAAGATAATTGGTGAGATGAGGCTCGTTTCAAGGGAGAAAACCGTGCCTTTTTTTATTATGAAGATGAAGATTTAATGAGGATCACTAATTATTGCCAACATTCATGAAACTCGTCCATCGTGATATGTCACCACACGTTTATGATCCGTCCAATAGGGCTTCACAGAGTTTAAATATTCCAAGCTCTATTAGTTTAAAATTAAAATGAAAAAAAAAAATGTTGAACAATTAGTGAATAGATGGCAGCGCAGGGAGCAGAAAATATTCCGAGAGAGACGTTGAAGGAAACCACGGGGTAGTGGACAGTACTAAATATATCCTGATGAGATAATGTCAATCGAGTGTCTTTGACTGGTTGATTAGATTAATCTGGATTAAATTATTGAAACTTAGCGAACAGGCTGGCAAAAAGCTTTGAAGTAGCACCGTACTCTTCACCTAAAAAACAATTCTTCGAGGCACAAGTTTGATTTGACTGCGTCAGTACTTCAATCAGCTATTCCTTAATTGCACTGGAAGAATCAGATTCAAAAGAATATAATATTTATGAGAGATTGTCATTGAATAGCATCAGAAGCAGAAACTGAAATTCAGCAGTTGAAGGGTGAATGCAACTGAGGAGCTTTAAGAATTGATATTAATTGATTGGCTTAGCAGAAAGAAAATATTTTATGGTCGAAGGAATGAGAATTAAAACGCGATGGGATGTGAAAAATGAGAAATTCTATCGGTTGCACTGGTGTCTCAGTTTCGATTAATATTTTATATATAAATATTTGTACAAAAGAGTATTAAAGAAGTAATGAACAATGTGGAATAAGTAAACAACAAAAATCGGGGTGTTTCGCGTATATATTGAAGAAATGATATACATGAAGAAGTCTATTTAATCGCGTCACAGAGAAATTAAAAATGAAATACTGACACTTATATACACAAACACTGCTGTAAATGGTTGTAGTTATTTAATGATTATTCTGTATATCGAGAGTAAAATATTTAATATTACAGTTTTATTTATTAATAAGTAATTTATTGTCTCGCATTCCAAGAAAACGTTGAAAAAACAAATTTGACACAGAATTAGTTTAATTGAAAGGAGAGAAACACTTTGGTGGAATTAATATAATATATAGATTTATATATATTTTTGTTCAAAGCAGGATCATCTGAAATCACTTATTCAGCACTTGAAAGCGTAACGATCATTGAACGAGGAATTTTAGGAGTTATTTGTATGAATATTTACAAAGCAAAATTATGAAATTGTCATGTAGATTAATTTTATTTCCATAATGTGACCTTGCTCGAGTCTTTTTAGATACCTTTACATAACACACGTGTTCATCATATTTTTGGGTTGTTGAGAATGACAAGTGCCTGACATGAAAGATGACAATTCAATATTTTGGACAAATGGATAATGGAATCATTCAATTTCTGAATATGAAATATTTGAAGTGGACCACCAAGCGCTTTTACACTGTGATCACGTTTACAAAGAAAAAAAGATAGTCTTAATGATAGAGAATAAAGAAAGGTGGTTACGAAAATATGATGAATGCAACCTCGTAAAAATTGAATCGGTCATTAATTGGGATGAAAGGAGAGGATTCGATCGATTGTGAATAAATCTCCTCATGAAATTCAATCGTACTAAAAAAAATTCCGATGAGAAGATCGAACTGATTCTTTCATTTCAATTAATCACTGAAGCAAAAAAAAAATAATGATGAAGCCTTAGGTGCACACCCTGCCCACTTAATCATACGATTATTAAAAAGTTTAATTCTATTTAATTGTATAAGAATGAAAAAAAAAATTATTGTTGATGTTACTACGGTGTAATGGGTACAATCTAAATACATAAAAATTATGTATATAAAGCAAAACTGTTGTTTCATTGGAAAAATTCGATCCGATCACTGGGTACTCATCTGCGAAAATGAAAAATCGATAAATCTGGTCTGTATTAATTTATTGTCAATTGAATTCTTACAGTTTTATATTACAATTGGTATTAAAAATCTAATAAAAATAAATAATCATTAAAAGATTGTGGCGCATCGTCATTGCTCCACGTGTCTCGATAATCTTCAACTCGAGGCAACGGGAGCCCGAAGACGAATAATTCTCCATTAAATCCATCAATCAACTGACTGATGTCGACAGAGTCTGGCATAGATTTATGATAATACAAAATTGAGAAAAAAAAAAAATGCTTTCGTTTGAAAAATCAGTCCCGTGTAGTCTTGTGACTGAGGATGCTCTCGATGTTGCGTTGAATCCGGGAAATCTGTGCACGTTTACTCCTAGACGTTTCTCCCTCTTCGATGTACAAGTTTCCCCCTGCTTCCGGCCATCCTGCCACCACCGGAGTCTCTCGTTTCCGGTCTGCAAGACAAAGAGGTCGAACACAACATCAGGGATTTGCTGGAGTCAATTAGTGAAGATCAATCGCCATTCCACAAACTGACGTATTGACTAAGAAAAATTGTTATGCCACAGATTAATGAGATTTTCCAGAAAAATATTCATTACAATCCCTTGATGTTTCGCATAATTAGAAGTCCTATGAAAATAATTAAAACCACTTCATACCCAAGAATTTATATTAATTGGATTAATTATCAATGAGGGAAGAACATGAATCAAATATTTATATTTTTTTCAGTATTGACTCGTTTTCCATTTCAATTCGTTATTTTATTTGAGATTGAGATTTATCTGAGGAGTTGTAATAATTTTTATTGGAGATTTAGCCTGATATCGGAAAAATTGAATTCTCGAAGGAAACGAGCGGCTGTTTCTGTGAGGGACATATTCTCGCATCAAAGTGGCAATGAAGCAATTGCGACTAGTGAGAAGTAATTGTGGTCAATAAACCTGGTGGCATTTATAACAGAGAATCGCGCCCATGGCACATTTGTCATCCAATATAACATCGCGTGATACGAACTGGTGAATGAAAGTCGGACGGAAGGAGTTGTTTCTGAAGTAGTAGGGGAGTTTAATAAACGTACATGTAAAGGGGGACAGAGTGATGAAAAGTAAAAAATAAAAGATAGCAAGAGGTTCAAGCGCGTTTCAATATCTCCCACCGCCACGTCTACTGGACACAAGTACACACATTATGTACTTAATTCAATGCACGAAACACGCGTAACCGTTTCAATCCTACCTAGACCATTCATTCAGCGTGAATTATCATTAATCAATTCAGTCAATTTAATTTTCTCTTTAGGTGTCATTAAAAAATACGAGTTTCCCTTCCCCAATCCTTTTAGTCCGCCCATTCACGTACGCTGTGAAAAAATGTCGCCATTTGTACGGAATTCATGTTCTCCCCTGCATTTTTTTCTTTTGTCAATTGCAAATTGGATAATTCTACGATTTAATGGTCTTTTTGGGGGGGAATTCACTGGAGAATGGAGAGAATTCAATATTCTCATATTTTGGGGCATTTTAAAAAGAGGAATTGCAATTTTTCGGATTTCTGTCAGTTCGGACAGAGAAAAAATGGGTAGAATTTTAATTGAATCGGACGTCCTAGAGAATCGACTTGAGAATATGTATGAGATGTGATGGAATCTTCGGGAAAGAATTTCAGGGAGAAGTCGAGAGAATTATATTGAGTATTAGAAAAAATTAACTCTATAGCTGCAATTAATTAATTAATAATGGATAAAAATTAAAGAAATTCTGACTGAATTACCTAAAAGTTTCTCGAGATATTGGCACCTTGTTTCAGGATCCCCTGGGTTCATGGGGGCACCTGCGCTGAGCTCAGCAAGTTCAGCCTTTACCATTAAATTCAGTCTCGCTGATATCTCCTCAAGACCAGCTGAAAAATAAAATGAAAAAAACCCTTAAATAATGTGAATTAACTGCGTACTTTCATGAATTCCTGGTATACCAGTGGTGCCTTCGAGGGGAGAAGAATTCTCCGACCGGATGCCAGTGGATCTGAGATACTCAAAGTGGAATGAATGGCTGTTGATTCATTGTTTAGGAATTTAACTTTTATCGTTATTTACGCGAATGAAAATTGCGCATTATTATCAGTACCTGCAGTCAATGCTGGAAAAATAAATTATTTCTCTTAAATAGATTTGGGACAATTGAATTAATTCATATTAATTCATATTAATTCATATCAATTCATATTTATACATATTAATTCATATTAATTCATATCAATTCATATTAATACATATTAATTCATATTAATTCATATCAATTCATATTAATACATATTAATTCATATTAATTCATATCAATTCATATTAATTCATATTAATTCATAATTAAATAAATAATGAAATGATTAATGTATTATTATTAATTCAGTTTTCAAAAATAATCAAACGACGCAGTAAAAATATCTCTGGTATGCCATAGATGCTCCGGAATGTATTCACATGAATAAACAGACGATATAGGAGTTGAAACAATACAATAAAGAAGATGGTAATGTTAATAATCACGCAATTGCAATCCCTCCTGGTGCATCATTATGCATTCGACAAATGTTGCACAATATCGGTGGTGTATGATTGCGTGATCAATAAAAGAGACAAAGGTAGAGCATGTACGAAAAAAGTGTCACTCCTTTCCCGTCATATATCTTTTTCGAATGTCAACGAAAAAGAGGGAGAATCGGAGAATGTCAAGACGTACCGCCTGTTTGTACTAAAATGTCACGTGCCATCTGGACACGCTCGTTGTGTGGTTTACGACGAAAAATTTTTAGCATTCGCAAACGTTTACATCTTGAATTTTTCATTCAATCGAACTCTCACTGGATCGCTTGTTGGAATGAGAGAGGGTACCGAGTCAACAGCCACTTAATTTTTTTCAATCGCAATTCCTCGTTGAAATGACCCTCTCCACCGCAAAAGTATGTTTTCTCAATTTTTTTATCGGTCTAGACTGGAGTCAATTAATGTAATTGCGCCTCGTGCTATAAATTTTTGAGAGAGGGAAGAATTTGCGGCGAAATCAACTCAAACGGTCGAGAATTTTTTCCATGTTTTCGCAGACATCTCCTGAAAATTGATCTGAAATTGATTGATTTGAAATTGAGGAATAACGCGGGGGATTTTTTTCGATTTCTTATCAATCATGTCGATTTTATTAAATTTCTGGATAATTGAGGGGAACTATGGAATACTGATTACTGATTACTGATTACTGAATCCTGAATCCTGAATGGAGTCAAGGTTATTGGAGAATATTTGTCCTCTCGTACGGTGTTTCGATAATTTAATATGTTGACGTGACATTTGGCAAGGACTCGTATATTGTACGAGGACGGGAAGTGAACGGCGTTGAGTTCACGATAATATTCTCAACGCACATTCGCCTCACACCCATCGTTGCTTCTTGGAAGTAACCGGGCCTTTGACTCGCAATAACGATTCTAAGGATCCCATCATGTTCAAATGCCATTTCATCCCCCATCCCTCCCCCACAATTAATGTCAACCATTAAAGAGATAACATCGCGCCGATTTCCGTCCGGTCTCAGACCAGGAGCGTCCACTCGTCGATTTTTATTTTTCCAAGAGGAGACTCTTCGAATTTCCCAGGTAATTGGATCAAATCAACCTAGACTGACAGAACACCAGAGAAAATTAAACATGGCCTTTGATGCGAGTGGATTGAATGTATTGAAACGTGAGACGCGATATCCGGGCACCTTAGGTCGACGCCAAGGTGAGGGATAAGCCGTGATCGGCCCTCATGATGAAGTGGATATCGTCTTGCATTGGAAATGATAAAAAATATTTTCAATCCGAAGAGACTCTTTCAAACATGCCGCTCATTCATCACCCTGTCCTCCCAATCTCTCAAAAAATCTCAATGAATTTCAAAACATTATTTCCATTAACGAAATCTTGAGGAATCGTGAAGAACCTCACGTCTCAATAACAACTAGAATCTATCGACTAAATTTTTAATCCGCATTATGTATTACAATTTTAATGAATAGTTCTCGAAAGAAAATGAGAAAATAATTAATTGGGTGAAGATATTAGCAATCTGGGAGAGTGAAAGAAAAATGAAAAAATGGTGGAATGCCATCAGATCTTTAAAATCTCCAGGAATGATCGAAGGAATAATCTGATAGAGTTTTAACGACTCTCCCTGTTGATTGATCAATTGGATCCATTACCTGGCTGAAAATTCCTCTTCATCCGTCGCCATTGCCGGACGTAGATAAGAGCCGAGCATCCGGCAACCATGAAGAATACTATGCAGGCACATACAGCGAGGACAAGAGCACTGGTCTGCCAATCCCACGGTAAATGATCATTGTCATTGCTAGATCGCCTCTCCTTGGGCACCTCCGGCGATATCTGCAGCATCACATAAAATTAATAACCCAACCATTCAACCCCATGACAATCACGCTAGATACCTGCAACTGCTGAGGATCAATTAAGCCCTCATCATCATCGAGACCGGATGCACTCAACTCATCATCGATTTCACGTCGACTCTCGCTTGACCTCAACGTTTCCGGTCTTCCATCGACATTTGAAACACGCCACATCATCTTCTCGGTTACATCCAACCTCTGATTAATGTCTGATTTTCTTCTGTTACCCAGGAAGGACCAGTCCAGCTCGAGTGCTGATAGCGGTCCACAAATAGCATCTTTGTGAACGGCGCACGGACTTATTGTGAATTCCGGTGCACATTTTGTGCACGGGGTGCATCCAGACTTGTCCGTTGACCAGAATTCCAACCCATGATGACAGAGCTCGGGATTGGATTGGGATGAGTGAAGTTCACTTGATTTTATGGCTTCCAGAGTACTGAGCAATACCAGGCCCACCCTCAGCAGCCTGGGGCAAATCTCCCTCGGCATCACCTATTCAATTTCACATATTTTATTATTTTAACAATTGTTATACCCGATAATCCTATCCTACACATATATTTCTATTGTTCATCCACTCTCCATCAATTATAGCTATCGTCCTCATGCAATAACTATAATTATAACTATAACTCCGGTTTACAGAATTTCATTCATCACTCCGGTCAATGAAATATCAGCAAGTGCGCTAATTAACGACCTTGATCGTGTTTCATTAAAAAATAATAATGATTGAGTGCGGAAAAATGTTCGATCCGCGCGACGCTTCTTTCATACTTCCGGTATACGTTATACGCGTTGTAATTACATCCGCAGTTAAATCGCAATTCCAGGTCCCAACGTCATCGCTCTCTCTTTCAATCTCTCTCTTTCTCTCACTCACTCATTACATTGTAACTGAGAAAAGGGGGGGTGGGGATTTTGAAGTATTTTGCCCTCACCTTTCGTCTTTTCTACGTTATACATACGTGTCTCACATGGCACCGTTACGCTTTGTAATTGTGTATATACTTTAATGCATTCCAAGAATCACTTACAACTAATTATATCACTTTATTTTTATATTAAATTGAAGTATGGTGAGTCATCATTAATTTTTTTATGGAAGAAGAAATGATGGAATATGGGGGAAAACGGTGTGCGGGAATTTAATCTGTTGGGGAAGAAGAACTAAATAATCTGAGTGATAATCAATGTATGTCGGAATTTTTACGTTGGGTTGAGTTGAAGTTGATCTCATCAGCGATATGAGCTTCGAGCTATTAAAATCAATTGCCCATTTTGAAGTGTGAAGATTCTTCAAGAATTCGCAATTTTTTTATTCCCGGAATTCTAGGAATTTTAAAGCGCAAATTGATTTAGATTGTTCCATTATTTGTTGCAATTTCATTCCAATTATTAATTTTAATTAATCGAAAATTCTTTTATTATCAGATTGTGAGGAGTTGGACAGTTCATCAATTGAATTTACGGTGGGATGATTGGAAGATCGAGGTGCTATCTCGATCTTCAAAAATTTCCGAAATTCCATTACAAAAATATCCAAACAGATTTGAAATTCCAAATGTTCTTCCAGTACATCCACCATGTGTCTTTCGTTGAAATCCCCAGATCCCTCGCGTTTATATTAACTGCCGCTCGTTATAAACAAAACCAATAGTTCGACGCACGAATTTCAAACTAGCAAATGAAAAGAAACGCAACTAGCGAAAAATCTTGAGAGACATTCCACTAATTCCATGATTTCCCTCCGAAAAATTATGAGATTCGCCAAGAAAATTCGTTAACTACAAAAAAATCCGCCCATTTCCACAATTCGCATGCAATTAAATACTTTAATACTAGCGGCAAATAGATAAATTTGAATGAATACGTGAAATTATAAAAATATTAATTAAAATTAATAAAATACATACGATGCCTTAGGTGGTAGCATTCCTGCCATGACGTAATAATTTCCGCGATCGAATCCCCAGATCAATCGTCACGAGACACAACAGCCCGGGTCAATGGTCTTCCAACAAACTATCATCGATTGTTCCCAATGACTCACAAGAATCGATAAAAAAAATTGATCTGTCCTCAGAAGACACACTAAAAAATCACTAAAAAAAATAATTCCAGAGTTACACAAGATTCACGTATCACACTGAAAGAAGAGGTGAATATGATTGATGGGGTGATCCGATTGCCCAAGAGGTAAGAGACGGATTTATTATAAAAAATGGAAAAAAGTATTGCGGGTGTTTGGAACTGGTGGAGAACCGGCGCGCGTTGGTCGGTCAAGCAACCATCTGAAGGCAGTGCCTCGTTCTCGTACAAAACCAGAGACTAGTTCGACGGGTTCTACTAATTTCCGCCCACGACTAACTCATACCAAACCCTCGAGTGTGAATGCATCCGAGTGAGATGAAAATTCTCGGAGAAGGTGCAAGAGAGATGAATTCTCTGGGTCGCTGAGTGGTGGGTACTGGACGTCTGGTGGGGATGGAAAAAGAGAAAACTACGTACAATTGTACACCATGTACTCGATACTTTCAGCTTTTCTTATCCCATCGATTAAGAATAAGATATGAAAATATGTAAATATGAAATTCTTTTTTTTTCACATTATTCTGATTTTTCTTTCCATTTTTGAAGTGCAATTTCATTACGATTAATAATTATACCACAAATCAGGGTATGAGTACTCATATTATTATAAGTATTGAATTATATAAAATATCTCCCTAACCGTTTGTTTATTATAAATAATTATTTCCCCTGTATCGAAAATGAAATGAAAAATTGCATAAAAACAATATTTTGGTAAAATATTGTGACTTGAGAGAAAGTGGTTTTGAAATTTTGCATTCCTCCGCAAGTATTTTGTAATGATTTATTTTTTATTTTTTTAGAGACTGAATAGTTTTATGTTCACCACAGATTTCTTCTGGGGGATTGACATTAAAATGTGGTTTTGCTGTGATTGCTTTTTATGTAGCATTTTCCCAGGGTGGGGCAGGTGGTACTCGTTGAGGCTTCTTCGGGTACGAAGGGATTTAAGACAGACCTTCCCAGTCCCCTAGACAGGATGTCCTGAGGTATTTTGAGACTGAAAAATCTCTCGTGTTATATCCGTGATCTTTTTAAAACGTTAACCCAGCCAGCATCTGGAGTTGGTCTGTCGTTAACGCACGGGGGAATACTTCTACCCGTAGTTTACTTCCTTTATGTTTTTACGGGGCTCTTCCCACGCATCTGTGAATACCATTCAATATAATCCCTATTCTCCTCGGTTAATTCAAACACTCATTTTTTATCGTCCCGCTGAAGCAATTTCCTATAGTTTTTATTCCTCACTCTGGAGCGAAGTGAAAAAATTTACACCGGCAGATAAACAAATTAATCTGTATATTTTTACCCGCACTCCGAGTATTTGTTTTTCCTTGGTGCTCTTGAAAATTGGACGGAGGTCAAGAATGATTGATGGAGACGCTGTGAAATTGAGTGGGTGGAAAACACTCAACAGCCCATGAATAATCCCAACATCCGCAGATTTCTACATTTTGTGGGAAAATCTTGAGGGCATGTGGTCCAAGTTCTCACCCCGGAACAGCACCTGGACATTTTAATTACTCCAACGACCTTGCGACTTCCCGAAAAAGATCAGGTCATTTGTGAGATTCGTTTACCCATCAAAATAGCCCAATTCAAATTGTTACGACAAATCATTATCAAAAAATTCCACCAAAAAATATTAAAACTGAAAAAAGTATTGCTCAAACTATTACATCAGGAAAATATAACATTTAAAAATAGTTTAACAAACCACACATTATTCCGAAAATGAATTAATGCAGAGACTCATCCTCTCATCACCCGAATTAATCAGTCATCATAAATCACGAATAATAATAATTAATCAGGATCAGGACTCCAGTCAATCTGAAAATTGTTCAGACAATCCTCCAGGTCTTGATAAAAAGCCTTGGCAACAATCTTTGAGAATACATACCGATCCCGCGTTCGGAGGGTGTCGTCATCTTCTGGACAAACCGAGTCTGGTTCGGATCGAATACCGAATGCACAGAGTTCGGCCTCCTCACTCTATTCTTCATGGTTCTGGGGGTTGGAGTGACCCCAGCGGCATCGTAGTACTCACCCCAAGAGAGGGAGGGCGCCACACGCAATCGGGGTGTCTGCCCGTCAGTCGACCCTGTAACTGCCCAGTAGTAGACCCATTGTCAGAGGGACCAGTCGACAGGGTGAGTGTTATTTTCTGCGTTACGAAATTGGTATTCACTGAAATTTAAAATTTTATGGAGTCACTTAAATTTTTCCTTAATCAAAAAGTATCGGGAGAACATGCAAACCGAGGAGGCATTCACTGAAATTTTGAATTTGGCAATTTCAGTGAATACCTCTTCGATTTTCATGTTTTCCTGATACTTTTTGGTTAAGGGTTAATTGGATTTGGTTAGAGGTCACATGGGGGCAAAAAAATTAAGTGAATCCATAAAATTTTAAAATTTCAGTGAATACCAATTTCGGAACGCAGAAAATAACATTCACCCTGTCGACTGGTCCCTCTGACTCGACTGACGGGTTGACACCCCACCATCGCGGCAGGTACTGAGTCGGGTGACGGGCAGACACCCCACCATTGAGTGCGGCCCCCTCTTTTTCTTGGGGTGGGGGACTACAATGCCGGTGGGGTCACTCGAACCCCCAATGAGCGGCTCAGTTCTTGGGGAGTACCTCACCCCAAGAGAAAGAGGGGGCCGCACCCAATGGTGGGGTGTCTGCCCGTCAGCCGACTCGGTAACTGCCTCAGTAGCAGTCCCGATGTCAGTGGGACCGATCGACTAGAGGAATTTTATTTTCTGAAAATTTAAAATTTTTCAATTTCAGTGAATACCTCCTCGATTTTCATGTTCTCCTGATACTTTTTCAAAAATTTCGAATTTTTCAAATTCCAGTGAACACCTCCTCAATTTTCATACTCTCCTGATACTTTTTCAAAAATTTCGAATTTTCAAATTTCAGGGAATACCTCCTCGATTTTCATGTTCCCCTAATATTTTTTTGAAAATTTCAAATTTTTAAATTTCAGTGAATACCTCCTCGATTCTCATGTCCCCCTGATACATTTTTAAAAATTTCGAATTTTTCAATTCCAGTGAATACCGCCTCGATTTTCATGTTCTCCTGGTACTTCTTCAAAAATTTCAAATTTTTAAATTTCAGTGAATACCTCCTCGATTCTCATGTCCCCCTGATACATTTTTAAAAATTTCGAATTTTTCAATTCCAGTGAATACCGCCTCGATTTTCATGTTCTCCTGATACTTCTTCAAAAATTTCAAATTTTTAAATTTCAGTGAATACCTCCTTGATTTTCATGCTCCCCTGATGCTTTTTCAAAAATTTTGAATTTTCAAATTTCAGTGAATACCTCCTCGATTTCCATGTTCTCCTGATACTTCTTCAAAAATTTCGAATTTTCCCCATTCCAGTGAATACCTCCTCGATTTTGATGTTCACCTGATACTTTTTCAAAAATTTTTCAAAAAAATTCAGAATGGCAGTTACCGAGTCGGCTGACGGGCAGACACCCAGCATTGCGTGTGGGGCCCTCTCTTCCTTGGGGTGAGATACCACGATGCCGGTGGGGTCACTCAAACCTCCCGAACTGAGCCTCTACGTTAGTCAATTCTCTCTGGTCCGGATTGCTTAGTCGACACTAGTTCCTGGAGCCGCCACTGCTGACGTCCTTCACCCTGGGCCTCCTATCTGTATTATCAGCTGCCACAGATGCCCCTCCCCTTCACCCCTCCATGAATTTTCGACGCTTTTCGTTTGACAGATTGGAGTTGCGCGCGCGCGCGCGCTGCACCATCATTCCACGTGAATTTTTTTGTTGTTTCTTGCACGCGAAAGCCGGTTGTACCACCAATAACAATTGTTTATGCAGCGTCGTTAACGACCATAGTGTGCATGGTAAGTACACCAAGTTAAACCTAAAATCGGCCATTTTTTTAACAAATAAGCCCTTTTTTTTCTCCCTTTTTATCGTTCTTTCTTTCTCGTCTCGCGTACGACTGCTTCACCCAAGTTGGACAACAGAACAATATGGTTTTATCGAAGTTGCATTTACGGAAGTGATGATAAACACATCGTGGATAACCGCATACTATTTATACGCCTTCTCGTTTTCAGTTTCCTTCGAGAGATTCTTTTTCGTATTTTTTTCTTGTCTCATTTTCCTGCTGATGCATACCACCACGAGCTACTGCCACTGATTTTGTTACTTGTTAGTTGTTTTATGGGTCAGTAATTTTTATTTTTTTGTGTAGCTGTAAAAAAACAATCTTGAGCATGCCGGTTTGCGCCTACTCCTCGAGATCACAAGGTATTTTATTAGCTCGTAAAATCCCTTGCATTCTTCATTGTTTCAAAACTCGAGGATCTAATTTCAGTCGAGGCGATTGCTGAGAAATTCCTTCAGCATAATCTCCATCGATATATGTTAGCATCTGCACATATGTCGATCGTTAATTTTTCTCCATATTATCTATCACCAGATCTTTGTTTACAGTTTCATATCGAACCTAACCTAGAATTAAATGAACCCAGTGGATTCGATAACCGATATCGTGTAATTTATTCCAGGGGGATTATCGTTTTACATTCGTACGCGTTAATTGCTTTTTCTCAATGATAAATCGAGATTTCGATTCACTAGGGGAATTGATAAAAAAAAAACAACCAGTGGCACAACAAAACGAGTCGATAAAACAGTTTTCCAATGATTTTGATTTATGGAATAGAACGTGAGAATGAAAGATGTCAAAAATGTAAATTTAAATTTGTTGTTATCTATCTTTTTTCAGGCAGGGCATTCTCCGGTATGGCGGGGAAGGATGGGAAGGTGGAGTCGAAGGGTGATATTGTGAGACAGGGATTTATGGTGAAGCGTTCGCAAAATAAAAAACGCTTCACACCAATAAACTACAAACAACGGTGGTTCGTACTGACACGTCGTTACCTCGTCTACTACGACAATGACAGTGAGGTAAATTGATTTCTCTTCTTGTCCCTCATTTTTGCATTTCAAATGTATTAGGGAAAAATTGCCTTGACATTTCAATAGTTACCCTGTATTTTTTCCATTTTTTACTCTTGACTCTCCACCTTTTTTATTCATTCATTAATTCATTGCGAAATTAATTTGTTTAATCTACATTATTCTCCAGTCTTCCATCCGTTTTAAAATCCAAAATTTCGTGCACTTTGTATTTTTTTTTCTAATAATCCCAACGAGTCACGTAATCGTGGGGTAAAGAGTGATTTCAGTTATTTTTATTTAAAATCATGATAAAAAATGAGAGATGGTCAGTAAATTTTATTATTTACTCCGGAAAATTTACGGTAATGTCACGTATTGTTTCGAACTCGTAAAACTCACGGAGAAATAAGTGAAAAATACTTTGGAGAACGTAAAGATTAGTCAATTTCACGTGAATTTTATGTGACTAAAATGATACTTGTTATGGTTTTAAAGACGCAACTTTGAGAGCCGTCTCAACTCATTGATAGAGTATGTGGTGACGATGAACACAATAACAATAAGAAACTTGTGGCATACGAGTGAAATTCTTGCTTGGCATGCCATTTTCAGACCGTAATTTCAACACCTCACGTCCTTTTCCCAGTATTTTTCTCTCCATGTGGCATAACGCAATTGAATCGACCATTTGGATAATTGAATACATTACAAAAGCAGCGAGTATATCCCTAATTTTTCATGGCATTAGCGGCAAAATTTGATCACGCACGTTCTTAAGGGTATGTGAATAGTATGAGAACGTGAAAACGTTAATTGAATATGTAGAGCCCAAGGAAACTGTCACGGCAATTCATATCTCCATCGTTGGTAAGCCCATTTGGGGGGTTTAACACGCAAGCGCAGATAGAGAGCAACCCCTTTCTTTCGGCACAATCTCCACCCCCTCGGATCCCCTATTTCTGCACATCCTGGCACATCTCCGGATTCACGAGTTCAGTTGGTTAGCCGTAGCCGCCGACGAATCGACTTGTTAATGCGCGTTCACTATCATCGAGCGATCCAAGTTATTCGATTGAAAGCGTTTGATTATTTAATATAAAAATTTCAATGATAAATTTGATACCTACATTGGTTGATGAAGGATAAGCTATTGGGAATTTGGTACTGATAATTTAAGGGTTGAGGGGTCGTTATTGGGAGGTAATTGGTCTCTTTCATGTTTTGTCTCGGGTAAAATTAATAGAAATAAATAAAGTCAACAACAAAAGTGTTCACAGACGCGCGGGCGCACGTTCACGATCGATCTACGGGCGATCCCGGTTGTTCTACTCATGACAAACCTGCTTCCCAGATACGCTCGGTCCATTACAGCCACTGTCGTTCATCAGATTCAAGAGCCACCGCTGATCATCACCCCACATTTTTTATCCAACTTTTTTCATACTCGAATGAATCTATAAACTTCTTACCGGCTTTTATCTCCTCATTGTCAGCAAGTGACAAATGAGTTTGCAAGTTATTTAAGTTTAGGGGTGGGGGTGTAAAAAAGTTGGAGCCCCGGGGACGGGAGAAAGGGACAATCCACGTGGAACGTTGAGGAAAATTGATCGTCGCGTCGATTTCGAGTGTCGTTCTTTTTTTTTATTTATTTTCATTTGAAAGGGAGAATCGGGGAGGAAAATAAGTGCGATTGTAATTCAAGTTGGACAACGTGGAGGTAAGCAACAGAGGTGGATAGAAAAAGATGTTTAGAGAGGAGAGAATGGGGGATGAAAAATAGACGAAATGCTTTTATTCGTATTTTTTTTTTTACCCTCCGGCTGGATGAGTTTACTTTGACTCTCTTTGTTTCGAAGAACGTAGTATTTTTCGCCCCCTTTTGTGATACACCTTCTGGTTTTAGAATGAGAAATAATAAAAGAGATATGGATACAGGAATGAATAAAAGCTGGCTTGGTAAATGAAGGTGAAGAGTGCAGAAGAGAAAAAAAATTATTTGAAGGAGAAAAAAAAGGGATTTTGCTGGGAAATTGCACGCGGCGTGTCTTTTAATATCAAATCTAGGTGAAAAAGTGGAGAAAAAAATCATAACTGACCGGGATCCGCGTCCCTGCATTTCTGCGTGGAATATTGCCACCGTATTTTCAGACCTCATACCCTTACTACCGTGTTGGCCCATTTTTAATAGGATTTGCGTGAATGGAAATGCATCTATGCCCTGGTAAATTGCAAATCATAATTATAAATTCACAGCACGAATTGAAATTCAAAATATGCCCTCGAATATTTGCATTCAAGTTTTAAAATACACGAGAATATTTTACTCCAGCCCGGGGCTAAATAAATCACTCACGAAATTAATCTTGACATCGTGTAAAATCCCTGTGGAAAATGAAAAAAGAAAATATCACTTCCACAATTTCAGAGATAATTGTAAATATAAAATTGCTCATCCAATGATTTATTCATTGCGCCAATTAAATTGACCAAAAATTCAGATATTTTTCACTATTCTCTCCCCAATTTCAACAATCAAATTATCGACATCATCTCGGTGAACACGAATTTCCAAGCAAGTGAAAATTCTACTTGAATTATTTAGAACGGTCGAGAACTGTCCAGAGCTGATTGAATTTTCGCTCTACACATTTATCATTTTTATTTTCACCTATTCGTACTATTATTCATTTATTTTCTTTTTTTATTTTTCCAGCGACGAAAGGAACGGGGTCGCATTGCCATTGAGAACGTGCACGTGGTGGAAACGGCAAGCCTAGGGAACGTTGGCGTCGGCGACGTGGCTGCCGGAAGTGAAGCAGGCTCAGGGGGTGGTGGCGGTGGTGGCATACCCCCTGGCCTGCCATTTCAAGTTGGATATCGTGAGGCAGGTCAGGAGTACACTCTTTATCTACTTGCGGCACGTGAACAGGACCGAGTCGAGTGGATTCGCGCACTACGTGCAGGTAAACGAGAACTTTACTTCACGCTTCGTAGATCCATTCACCTAGGAGATTCTCATTTTATTCCCACCCCTTTCATTCGCCTTCGATACGGCAATCCAGCTCCTTTCCTTATTCCGTTAAGACCTCTGCATACTCATTTTCCCTCAACGAATATAGCTGGGGCATTTCTGCATTTTCATTGCATTACGACCTTTCGAAATACGACCTTTCGAAGTTTTCCAACGAACGTCAAAGTACTTGATTATAACAACACCAATTTGCAAATTGAGGTACAGATGTTCGTGGAATAGCCAATAAAAATAAACCTTCGAAAAAAATGTGGACGCAATTTTCACCTGCACTCTCTCATGGTTAAACAATCAATTGGTAATTTTTCTGAAGGTCTACGCGAAAAAAAGAGAATGTAATGTATTACTTTTATTTTATCATCAAAATGTTTTCTTGATTATAAAGTCTCATTTGGAGTGAAGAAACAGTTTCTCTCTGTGCATCCGCTACAGTCTCATCTTGAATATATTTAATGGATGGAATTAAGCCCCAGAGGTCCCTCAGTCAATAGTTTAAAAAGTGTTCCACTGTTTGTGAAGCCCATCGAATGGAAAACCTCGACGTAGTTTAATTTCACCTCAAAGCCTCGACGAAATTTCGCGTACCCCCAACATCAATGAATTTTTTTTTAATCGTTATCGTGCAGAATAGGGATTTCCATCAATTTTTTTTTTGTCTACCTGACTGATCAAAAGCCCTCACGCTGCCATACTGCTTTTGCTTTCCATCGAAAACTCGGTATAAAAAAATATATGGTGGCGCACAAGAAAAAATACCAAACGAGGTGAAATAGAATCGAGAAAAATTGTACCAGTGAATTTTTGCAGCCGTACAGACCACCGAGCTTTGGCAATTCACTGTACACAGTTCGAATAATGGAGTTTCAGTGCATGCACGAGTTTCGTTTGAATTTCCGGATGGGAAACGCGTCACGGAGTATTACACGACGTAGAACTGCATCCCTCTAAGTGAAATCGAGTCACCATAGTACATTGGAATACTAAAGTGAATATTGTGATTTCTATCAGGTGGCAGGACCTTTTGGTAAGAATCCCACTGATATTCCACCAAAGAATAATTCAATGATGCGTGAATTATTATCAGATGCAAACAGCGAATACTGAATAAACGACTATTTCTTGTGACTCCATTGTTGCTTCAGCGGTTAACTTTGAAATTGACTTTTTCCCCCAGTTCGAGTGAAAATTCAACTTTAAATTGATGTTTATGCGGGTCAAAAGTTCCTTTTCATTTTCCTTGACCCTTTTTTCCCCGTGCATAACACTTCAAGAACATTAAATGCACTTTTAATGGGGTAACGTATAACACTTTTCATTTTTTTTCTCTTCAACATTCTGGGAATTTAATTTGTGTCACAAGGTGTGTGGGGAAGATGAAAGATTTGATTTAGGGGCTAAAGTCCCCGAGGATTAAGTAAATTGCCGTACTTTTTACTCTTCGCCCTTCTTCGTGTTTTTTTTTATAAACCCCTCTTCACCACTCACCCCTTTTCTATCCCTGGGCTAATGCATATGAAAAAGAGAATCGCAAATCACGACTGAGGACCACCCAGAGGAGCTTACCTAAAAGTGCGATGTTAATGTGGACTTCGTGAGTGCACACTATCATCCCAGAGTTGTGGAAAAGTAATTACAAAGTTAATTAGTCTCGACGGATTAGATTGTGAAAAACATAACTGGAGAAACTACTGCCTGACTACATACTCTTTTCATCACGAGAGTGGAAAAAGAAACAACCGAGTGAGGGGAAAACACAGCGAAGTACCATCACCAAAAAAACCACCAGAAGATAGATCTTAAGAAGATAATTAGGAAGCGGAATCCACTCCTGGCCACCGGAAATGCCGAGTTATTATATCCACCGGATGAAAAACTACTTGAAATGGATTAATCTATGTGCTTAATTATCAGGGCGAACAAAAAGCAGAGTATAGCTGACAGACGTTGAATTTTTCTTCCATCCGTGAATTCAATGTAAAAAAAGGCCATTCAAACCCAAAACTTTTTCTCGCAACACCATCAAAGATTCAACTTCATTTTCACAAAAGTTTGATTACACCGTGGCTCGATGGCTTGTAAAAAAAAAAAAGAAGTGGGGAAAAACTTTGGGAATTCAGCTGAGAATGAGAATAAAGTGGAGTGCAAATTCACCGGGTCAATTGAATCTGCCAAAAATTGCAACAGCTACCTTCTGGTGGATCAATAAAAGCCAGGAGAGAAAAAGTAAATTATGGGAATGCCAGATGCCTGTTTCTTCAATTTGTGACAGGATTGAAGACATGGCGGAAGTGTCAGTGGGATATCTATCATGACCAGTATTGGGAATTGTGGTCGAAGGGAAGCTGTCAAGCCTTCCTCGATAACCGGGGTAATTCAACTCCTGCCAATGAAGATCAAACCCACATTTTTTCTCTTTTATTTTCCCTTTCGATATTAGAGCCTGCTCGTGATAAAACAAGAGTATCTCAATGAGAATGAATGAAGGAAAAATGTCAATAAAAATAAAGGAGATTGGAAAATGGGAGTGAAAAGAATAGCAGTTGCGTTATCAGGTCGGCGAACACGCTAATGATAAACGGGGGTACGTGGGTGGACTGCTGATGACGTTCTTCAAGGCGAGTAAAAAGATGTTTAACCGACTCGAGAAAAACTAGGAGGCAATGCTGGGATAAATCCTGAGTTGTATTTATATTTTTCTCCCGCGAATGCCTGATTATTCGTTTCGCGGATTATTCGATTTTTATCTGACTTTCCAAAGAAAGTGATTAATTCTCCCAATTACGGGATATCCTAAATGTTAAATAAAAAAGTAGGAGAAGGTAATCCTGCTTTTACATTAATCCCTTGCAAGAAGAATTCCTTCAAGGTGGAAATGGCACTGAAATTTCCTTGAATCTCGCACAAAAATTCCATTAATTTGTTAAACGAAAGCTCTGGGTGCAATAAAAATCCCTATTTCTTCCCTTTGGAAGAAATTCATCCCCATGGAATTACCAAGAGAAGGGAGTATCACCCGCTCCATTCTGTCGTTCCATTTTTTTTTTTTTCGACACTTTTCTATTCGAATTTTTGCGGCTGTGAAAACGCATTTCATTTGGAGACCGTTACCGCACACTCGTTTTTATGGTACGGTAACGAGACATCCCCACGAAGTAACACCGTTTCCGTTTGCCAGTGGTGTTGTGCTTTGCGTATTGAATAAAAAAAAACGAGATGCGAGATTGTCAGGGAGAGTGAGGAAAGAGTGAAATAAGCTAAAATATACAGGAGTACTCTTCGACGTGGAAGTGAGCTCGAGTGAGTGAAGAGGAACAGGCTTTGATGTGTCACTGCAGGCAAAAGGGAATGAGAGAGAGATGGAGGAGTGGATTGAGGAAAATAACGATAGTTATAGTGTTGAAAAGCATCGTCAATTATCCTGAAAGGCTCCCTAGATATTTTTCTGTTAAAATTTCTCTTTTTCATCGAGTCAAGGACACTCATTCGAGCATTATAAGTCATCATCAAAAAATGTCCCATCTTCTGTGAATGCTACGAGAGTTTTTTTTCTCTCATCTGGTTTAAATTGGATTCAATTTTTATGAGTTGATCTTTTATGATAAATTGTTGTATTCATTAATTCCTCCTTGAAAATTATTATTCAATCTTATAAAATCAATTGGATATTTCAGAGTTTTTCCACTGAAAATAATAATTTTCCCATAAATTATTCTCCGAGTACTCGACAAATTGATTTGATTGATTTGATTGATTTAATTGGTCATTGAATAGTATAATTAGAGTAGAATGAATAATTTTATAATCGAGGGGTTGAAATAAATATCGAGCGTTGTTACCGCAATACACTGAATAATTGGTATAACAATTGTTGTTTGCAGTTTGCAGTGAAAATCCAGGTCTCTCCGGTAGATATCACGCTGGTCTCTGGAGCGGAAAACGCTGGTCCTGCTGTCGTCTGTCAACCCGCAGTGCTGAGGGTTGTGATACCTGCAGTTCGTGGTCATCGAAGCCACCATCTAGTAACACGACAAATTCCACAAACGCCTCACCATCAATTAACACAATAACCAACGCTCCTGGAGGTGAGGCAGATAGACGAATTCAACAGCAATCTACAACGACAATAACAGCAACTACAATTACATCAACAACAACAAGTACAACTGGTAGTGCTGCTGAAACCAACAATAATCCAGTAGTTCAGTCCCAGGCACGCTCGACAATTGGTTCGTACACAATTCAATTAAATTCTTGTTTAATTCTGTCAATTGTTTTCACACCCCCTACATTCATTTCTCTATTGATTCATTGGGATTCTTTTTTTTACTCACCTTTTCACGTCAATCAATTAGTTGACTCCAGTGGGGCTGATTTTTTTTTTCACCCAAAATCATTAATTGGAGGTAGGAAAATTGTCGTGCAATCGAGTGCAGGGGATAATAATTGGTAATTTGATAACGGCCTCCTGATAAATCAATCTTGCTATCGGTACGGTGAAGTTGCAATCGATGGGCCGATCAAACAAATTCCATCGATAATTGACTGATTAATCAACATATTATGTTGAATATGTCTCAACGCCGCGTGAAAATTCTGCGATGAGAGGGAAAATTGATGATTGTCAACAGTTCTAATACCATGATGAATCGATTCCCCCGGAGATCTGACGCACCCCTAGGGGTTTAAAAAAAAATCATTCCCATCCAGTGTGAATTATCCTTCACTCTCTCTCTTTGCTATCGGAATGGAAAGAGCTGGATCAAAGCCAGTGTCTAACGATGTTAGGGGAATTTTTCTTTGAAGTGGTTATCAGAACGTGAAACTGACAGAGTCAACTTGGTACCCTTGTTCCTTCCCGATCGTCATGAGAAGAAGAAATAAAATAATGCGGGAATTACTCACCGGGAGAAAAAGAAAAAACGGCAGAAGCCATCTGCGAAATTGAGAGCATTTAAACGGGGCCAATGGACTGGGGAAAATTAGTCGTCACTGCATAAATTTTAACCATTTAACTTTTGTTCTTGCTGAACGTTAAAGCGATTTAGCAAAGTTCAGCAACTTTTCTTTCCATTCTGTATTTTTCCACTATTTCTTTACTACTCTTCTACCTAGCACCCGAGTTTTGTACTCCTGGGAGTCTCATGTTGAGATGCTACCTTGCCAGACATTTCAAACTCCCTTCTTTTTTTTTTTTATTCAACTTCGACACAATGCCGATTCTTTGGAGGATAGGAATAAGTCCCTCATGATGGCAATGTGACGTTTTGAATTCTTTCTTCCTCCGCATTTGCCAAAATTCCGTGGCAAATCGCTTCCGTCGATGGCTTTTTACAAAACGAAGGGGCAGGGGGAAGATGGGGGGAGAGGGGAATGTGGAAGAGTAAAAATCACAAAGCTGAGCGAAAAACAACGATGATAATGCTCGAGAAGTGAGTGCACCACGGCTTTCTCGTATAAAATATGGGAATGTCAGAACACATAAATCCCTGACATTTTTTTTTTACTTCCCCCCGCTTTTTATTGATCGATAGTGCACACGAGCAGAAAATATTTATGTGAAACATCGTGTTTGGTGGACGATTGACGATAACACGGTTAGCAATTTTATATTCCAGGTCAAGTGAATGGAAAAAAAAAAATTCCCCCAGCTAATGATTTACAAAAGCTCCTCTCATTATTTTAACAACACATCGAGGGGGGAATTTTTCATGAATTTTCCGTAAATAAGGGAATAATGTTAAACACCTTGGGGGCACATTTATATTCATTGACCTGTGAATATGTTAATATCGTGTTAAGGCTGAGGAGTTCTTCCATGAAAATTCTTGTAGACGAATTGGTGAACAATTTCCGAATCTCCTTTATTGCCACGAAATCACAAACCGTCTCAGTCCCTGGAATTGGCCCAACTGTTTTCATTCCCTCGATTTATCTTCCACAACTATGAATCACTCATTTTTAATTGTCGTATTGGTTATCCTCTTCCGGAAACTCTCGTCTTTCAAAGTTATCCGGGAATGGGGAAAATGAAATTGCAATTTTTGAAACCTCTCTGGGACAGTCTATGAAAAGTTTCCAGTCGAGGAAAAAACTTGTATGTCGTTGGTTTTTCCCTTTTTCTTTCGTTTTATCTCTTTCGTACAGAGCTGAGTTGCTAGCAAGGAGTGATGCAAGGATGAGGTCTAAAAGAGAGTGGAAGTTGGACGCGATAGTCTGACGATGGAGAGGTTGAGGCAGAGTTGAGGTTTCAAAAGTTCCAGATCTCTTGGAATATTCGAGAGGAAAAGACACTGCCGTAAGACACTCGAACGGATAGATACGATGAATTATGATAATAAATTCCGAGTAGAGACAGAGAACCAGATGAAAAAAAAAGGAAGAGTCCTCAAGAGGAAATGTGACAAAATGAAAACTAATAAATTAAGACGCAGTTCGAGAGTTTGATTAAATCCTCTGAAAAAAAAAAACTGGTTGAAGAAAAAGTAAAGCGATAGACAGGGGTAAAAAGGAGGAACCAGAGGAAGGGGAGGAAGGGGAGGCCGGGGAGGAAGGTGAGGAAGGGGAGGAAGGGGAGGAAGGGGAGGAAAAGGAGGAGAAAAAAAAAAACGTTAGTGAAAGAGTTTCTTTTCATTGTGAAAGTAATCTCTAGCAAAATCCAATCGTAGAGGCTTCTTGGACTCTCCTGAAGAGCTCGGCAATTGTCCGTTGTATCCGCGTGAGTCTGTAGGTTGGTGAATCCGAAGAGAGCACCTCTCTACAGATGAAAGCTCTGCTCTATCATGGATATACATAGAAAAGTATCTTGATCGATTTATCTACAGACGAGTGAATGCATCGAGAATAATCTTCCCATCCCCTCCAGAAACAATTCCCACCGCTTTGAATTCCGTTCAACTCCACAACTCTGTCTTCATCGAACTCGCGCAATTACCATAATTTCATCCAATGATATCATGAATTAAAGTGAAATTTGACAATAGCAGAAACGTCACGCTCCCAGCCTTTCATAATTGAACATATAAACCCAACAACAGTTAATCAGGTGAATCAGCTGAATCAGCAAAGTAAGGAATACCCATTTCACTATGAGTTTGTTGAATGATAGTGACCCAATTGCCATGTGATTAAGCCATGACGTTACATTAATCCGAGAAATTGTCCCTGTGGTATTTCACTCCAAAGTGCAAGACACGAATTCTCAACGTCGGATGGATTTGCTATGAACAAACCCATTGAGACTAGCTGCCAGTTGATCTCAAGGCATTCTCAATGAGCCATGCATCTATCGAAGACAAATTTACACTGACAATGTTCATACGTCCGGATACACCGGTGTCGTTGGTATTGATGCACGTACCTTTGATCATCCACCTGTCCAACACCCTACTAATACCAACTTCTCTGTCTAGGCGTTTGGCATCTTATTGCATCAAACCCCACAGCAACAATTCCACTTTGATGTTTCAACTCATTAAGTCAGATTATTCCTCGAACTAACGTTCAGTGCTCATGTGATAATTACTGAATGCACAGCAATTTTTATTTTTAACGCGAGCCAGTAATATCAACATTTTTTTTTTATCTCTTCTGGTGAATTCTTCGCATCAAATCATCCACATTTCATACGTCTATCTCTTGGCTAACGGCTGGTGGGTGCTCTTGTGGTCTTTGTATCCCACAAAGTATCTCCTCGACGAGGTACGTCCGACCTTACCCCATTCGGCCCTAGACCTCGTTAAAACTTGATGCATCCTCTACTCACAGAGATCCCCTCACTTCCTTCACTCTCTCCCTTTTTCGGCTCATCTCGTGTCTTCACTCGCTCGTTTCGTTTTCCCTTTTTTCCACTTTTTTTTTTAACCCTCTTTATCTATTTTCCTCCCTTTCTCTTTGCCAACTAGTTTTTCTCTCATCCTTTTCTACCGTCGACTTTTTTTTTTTCACTTTTACGCCATTCCGTTAATAAAAGCCACGGCTTTCTCAACCCCGTATTAGGAGCTGGGATTTCTGACTTCAGGTCAAATTAAATTTCAATTATGCACATTCGCGCTGTTATTAAAATTGTACATTATGATTTTTTTAATGCTGCGGGTTGACTCAGTAAAGAGGGAAAAATTAAATTGAATTTTCCAGGTTTATGAAACGGCAATGGACAACTCGTTAGTATTTATGCGCTTCGGCTTTTTTAGAAGAGCTCTCTTTACTTTTCAATTATATTAATTGGGTTTTCAATTAAATTAGCTGAAGATGGTGAATGAATTTATCATATTTTCATGTTTATGGTGTCGAATATTGAGTTGTAGTGGTTGAGCTGTTGTGATTTTCTAGTTCTGAGAATGGTCAACCCCAAAGATTGTAACTTCTCAGTGGAGGACACAGCATTGTTGCATATCCACTCGTGAATTTAATAAGCAAGTCCAGGAACATGGAGTTGTGAAGTTGGAAGAGCCCCCAGGGGTATAACTAGAGATCTTTGTCGTATACGAGTCGACATAAAGGTGGCTTAGACCCAGATTTATCATCGTGTTCACCTCAGCCCACAGCTAGTCCACTAAACTCCAGAGGAAGAAAAAAAAAATCCAATTCCATTCTTTTTTCTCAGTTATTTAATCTTACATTTTTCCCCCCCTTCTTTATCTGACAAACCATATCCTGCTTTACTGCCTCTTGAGAGAAATAAATATCTATTATTATCCCCCCGAGTTCTATAACTCACCGAGATTGACAAATAACTCAGGAAAAGGGAGTGACAAAACCGATGTTCATTTGTACAGTACATCCTGTGGGCTCTGAACTGAAGAGGCTAAAGTTGAGAATATATTTTGCGGTTTGACATGACATTTTGTTCATTGGTTTTGATGTCAACTTGTGAGGCTGATGGTACAAATTCAAAATACCACAAGGTACATGGTTTCTCAAACTATTTCCAGTGGTTTTTGCTTAATGGGTTCAAACTTTTCTTGAGTTTAGCCAACTTTATTTAACGAAGTAGGTTGAATAGAGGAGCATGGTACCTAACGCTGAGGATTGGCAATGGCAATATAGGTGTTAGTAAACGCTGAATGGCTATTGGATTCAGAACTTTGGTTTAAAGACTTTCGAGTTTACTGTACAGATGGAGAGGAGATATATATATAGAAGCGTTTCAATATATTCTCCCTGTTAACCCAGAAGTTTCATTGCCAACGTTTCTGGATTTAAACGATCGAACTCCCTTTACCCTTGC